GTTACTGCTTTTAATAAGCTACCATTAAAGGAAATTGCAGTGCTAACAATCAAAAAAATAATAATAAAATGTCTAATTAACCTGTTAAGAATATACAGGTTCATAAAAATCTGTTGTGTATCTAAAAGCAGAGGAAATAATTTTATCATATAACAGAGACAAGAAAGAGCAAGCATACCATATTGTTCTTTGTTTTTAACCTAAGTATTTGTATTACACAAATTAAAATGTTATCATCCTGTTATTCACGGTATGTCCACTTTTAAATTTGGTATATAATAAAATAATATAAAAAAGGTCAATCTGATTTGTGTGGTATTCCAAGTATAAATGCCCTCTGCGGGCATACAGAAATTATGAGTTGGATAAAGAAATGTAAAGGGATTAATAACCTTGTTTACTTTATGTTTGATTTTCATATATCTAATTAAGCAGATAAGACAATATCATAAAACCTTATATTTCAGTAAGATGTTCTGATTCCAGTCCAGATTTTGTCTGCCTATTAACTAGATTAGTAAGAAATTAGAAGCACAGGATAAAAAGATTTTGATCTGTTGTGGAAGTGGCTTTTTATCCTAAAGGAAGAATTATGAGACATTTCCAAACTATTACAGGTTTATATTAAAAGACAGTGGCGGTAGAAAATATATTACCGCGAGTTCCTTTTTAAATAGTAGAAATCGAGTCATACATTCATCTTCTCTCTTAAGACAATTAAATGTCTTGAATATGACTTATACAACTTTTAATTGAAATTTCGTTTTGTACAGCTTTCATGACATTTCCATTTCATATGATTAACCAATCCAGTTTAATTGGGGGCTTTCCTTTGCATTAATTTTGAATGTACTCTCTGTTCAAATTACGCAGGCAGCAAACTAATGATTCTAACAATACATGCATCGTAGATAGTCATAGCCGTTTCTCTGCTAAGTTAGCAAAGCTAGCCGTTAGCACTGTGCTAGCGTGAACACTTCCGTCACAAAATATTATTCGTTTTACTTTTTCTAATCAGTACAACCATGTGACAGTAAACACTGAACAGTATACTTTAGTAACTGGTACTCACTTAATGTGTTGACGAAGGTTTAACGATATTAATAACAGTCAGTGAGTGAATGTACTTCGCGCCTGTAGTTTGTATCCTAATGCATTCTGGGATGGAAGGAAATGATTGGCTAATACGTCACACGCGTCGTTCTTTAGTTATGGAGTCGGTCACCATGGTATTTAAGATTGTCATATGGATTGTTGCGGTGTACAGAAACTTAAAAAAATGTTTAAGAGAAAAATCCACACATTATTACTATTACTAAATAGAGCTTGATTGAAAATGAAACAAGTGGCTTAAAAAAGATGCAATGTTTAATTCTTTATTGCACAGAGGAGATATAAAGCATAGCATTAGAATAGTACTGCTTTGTTATTTATTATAATGTCAAAGATTAATCATTCCAGTAAAAAAACACAAAAGTTTAATCATTTACTACCCAGAAAGAGATGTATTACATGCATTTAGATTTTAAAGCTGATGTGAAACTCTGAATTCAGTTGCTCTATGAATGTTAATATTGCAGAAAATAGATAAAGGTTTGGAGCTGTTGGTCTGCTAGAAAGTATGAATCCTATGAAAGTGCTTCACTGTGTTTATCTCTGCATTCTTTCTTTTATTTTTTTATTTCTATGATTGTTGTGCTCAGATAACACACTCTATGAAAAGCCACCATCTTTAGCCATTACATGCTTGCCCTGCTTGTTGTTGGGACAACTGTCAAGGCAGCAGTCATTAATTCCCTGATTATGTTGGAGATTGAATAGCTACCGGTAATAACATGGCTCCTTCCACACAAATTTGCAATTTCCAAAAAAATTAAAGAAATCCAATATAAAATTATACATAACATTTACCCTACAAACGCTTTTTCAGCAAAATTTGTCAATATTGATGTCAACTGTGTATTCTGTAATACTGAGGAGGAAACAATTAAGCACCTATTTTTTTTATGTAAATTTTCACAGATATTCTGGAAAGAAATTGAGGTTTACATCATATAGCACTCCAACACACCAATTAAATTACAAGCCAAAGATATCATATTAAACTATACTAATAATGATAGCAAAATGCAACTCTTGGTTAACTTGATTATTCAAATTGCAAAATTCCACATACACAAAACCAAATTTTCCAAAGGTCGACCTTTCTTCCCTGTGTTTGAAAATTATTAAAAAAATTACTTCAATTGTATCCAAAGAATACAATGCATACACACTGTTAACGTAATTCAGGAAATATTTGGAGAAATGTAATATATCTTGCCTTTTTTTGTTTCGTTTTTTTATTTGTTGTTGTTGTGTTTAAATCTCTTCGTTATCTATTTAAGTTAAAGTATGTTATATTTTAATTCTAATTGTACTCCATCATTGAACACTTACTTTGCAGATACTGTTCTATATCTTGTGATATTTTTTGTTAATGTTTTGTAATTTGCAACTTTTCAATAAAGTTTTGGATTAAAAAAGAAAAAAAGAGTCAGTCACCATGGAGACAAGGCTTAATTTCCTGTCTCTCAAGGGATCCTCTGGCAAATGAATGAAGTATTGCCAAAAGTATTTGGTCACTTACCAAGAGGACGAATTCGGCTTTTCATGACTGCATGTTTGGTTATTGATAAACCTTTTCCCTGCATAAAGTCTAGATGTTAGGCTTAAGGTTTTATAGAGCATTAGCTAAAACTAAAATTTTGGTTTTCTCATCAAAGTGCAAATCCACTTGTGTAAAATCTTTAGAGAACAGTTAAGCTGTTGTTGTGGGAACAGTAATCCATAAAAAAATATATAGTATGTAATCAACATGTAAAAGTAGACAGACTAATATTAATACTTTTTTGTTTACCCATCAGTGACATAAAAACTTGGTAAATAATAAAAACAGTTGCACAGTACAAACTTTAAGAGAGAATACATAATGCAGGTTTTGAATAATGATGTCCTTGAGCTGCAGTCAAATTTTTTATTGTTGAAACTACTCAAGAAATACTTAAATATGACTATATGACTGGTACCATAATAGGTTGCTGTTTCAGTAGGTTGTTCCGTTCTTTTTTAGAACAGTGTGTGGGGACAATTATTCAACCTTAGGAAATCATGAAATACAGAAGACTACTTCATAGAATTACAAACAATAATGATTTTTTTCTTAGGCTAATGCATTTATCAATTATATGAGCCATTCTAACTTTCTTTTACATGCTGCAGTAGCTACATATTTATTATTTAAGGGACCACATTAGAAAGGTTTGTCTGTTTCCCCCCGGCCATTATGAGTGGTCATTTAAAGAGCCTAAATGGATGTTATTGTTTCTGTGTGAAAGAATAAATGTATTAGCATATCTTAAGTGTGTTGGAGATTGTATTGAAGTTACTTAAAAAATAAAGAGCCGAAAAAAACATGCTCTACACCAGACACAAGTTAAAATAATGAATAAAAATTGAGGTATGTGACCACCAATAAGTAATGCAACATGGCTGATAACTAGTACATAATAACTATTTAAGTAAGTCATATTAACTGATATAGTGGCATTAACAATTAGACATACACTTAAATTATATTTAGTTATACAACATTATACTGAAAAGGACTGACAAATTACTTTGTGTTTCTTAAAGGTAAGAACATTGTAAGATAGCATTTTGAAGGTACATTTTTTTCTTTTTGAAGTTTAACCAAACTAAGACCACTGTTATTCCAAGTCAGTTCAGTTTATTTACATAGCACCAATTCACAACCAACAATGCCTCATTTTCATTACAAATCACTCAGTTTAATCTAACCATACAGACAGTTTTAAAGTCAATAACCTACATTCCAATTACATCCTAGTCACCACACAATGCTTTTTAATTCAGTTTTTTTTTAAATTGGTTATAAGGTATAATGTAGAAAGGGAATCCAGCAGATTGCATCCAATCAAATACCTGCAGCATTCCCTCCTCAATAAAACAGTTCGGAAAAGCTTGAATGATGTCATGAGTTTGTCAGTCTCTGATAGTATACATGTTGTACATTTCAGTTAAACGAACATCCAACACGCTTCCTCCTGATATTAAATCATAAAAAAATTAAAATAAAAAAATGTTAACTGGGCAAGAGATCATGAGGACAATTTTAAACCTCCATATGTTTTCTAAATCCTTGGGAACAATACATTTCCCAAATGGTGCCTCATTTATCTGTTTAATCAATTACAGGCAAGCATTAACATCATAATGATATTATAAACATTTTAGGTTGAACTGTGCTTATTTACTTCAGAAAAACAGAAGAACAATATGAAGATACTGCCAGGAGCTTGAAAGGAACTGTCAATGTTAAAAGTGAAGTGGATCTGGTACTGACATGGGCTAAAAGACCACTTAGTGACTGGAAAACCATTACTCCAAAAACAATATGAAAAGCTAGATTTTAGTTTGTTAATGTGCTAATGAACAAAGACCTTACATTTTGCAAACCTAACACCACCATCCGAACCATAAAGTATTATAGCTGCAGGAGAGGCTGCTGTTATAAACAAACAGGTGTCAATGCAATGAAAGAAGATCAAGAGGAGATATTGAAGCAACATATCACAACATCGGAGTGTAAGCATGGGAAAAATAGGTCGTAAAAATGGACTGTGATCCTCTGCATTCGAACAAATTTGTCACAAAGTGACTTAAAGACAACAAAGTTCATATTTTCAAAGCCTGGTAGTAAAAGCTAAAAACGTGTATACGAGCAAGTGACTCTAGTTCTGACAGGTGGAAAGGGGTAACGCTTTCAAGAAGCTTGCATGAGGATGTCTAAAATATTTGGCCAAAGTCATATATTTCAAAATAAAATTTACCGAAAACTAATGTAATGTACGCAAACTTCTCAATTTAAGGAAACATTAAATCAACCTATTAGCAACTTGGCTTTTAGGTAACAGTAATATTGTTTGTAAAGCTAAAAATTGAAGAAATCTTTTTATTTATTTATATCACAAAGTGAGTAAAACATTTCATGAAAGTACAGATGGACACGAAATTGTTAGACAAAATGTTTGAGCAGTAAAACCTCAAACATGCAACAATTTTTCTGGACATGTAAATTAGCATTATAAAGTGATTCCTACTACTTTTCTGCTGTTCAGTTTCTCCATAAGCTCACAACGAATAAATAGACATTTTAATATTTATACAAAACAAAACCCAAACACAACTAATAAACAACTTAGCTCATCAAAAGAAATGTAAACCATGTTAATAAGCCATATATTTTTACCTTTGTCATAAAGCACAAAATTACCCATATTATTCTTGACTGTAAAAATCCCATTTACATTGCAAAAATGCTATAACCACAAAACATGCTGTAGCTGTGATAGGTGTTTAACCAAACATCTTTTTAACAACCTTAAACTAAAACCTTTAAATTACCTCTAATCTTTTAAAACAAATACTTTTATTAGTTACCATGTTAATATTATGGATGTACAGATTAAGAAGAACCAACACAGAAATACACACTACATAAACTGAAGTTTATTTAACTAGCTCCTACTTTTGAGACATGAAGTATGCATGAATGTCACACTGAGTTGCTTCTGCACTGAGGAGGCACAGAGGTGCGAGACATTTCCATGTGTACTGTGGACATGGGAAAACGCTCAAACTCTTCTTCTTGTGGGAAACAGCGACAGTGGAGCAGAACCTCCCGCACTTCCTGTCGAAAGTTGGAGTTGAGGAAGCCGTAAATGATGGGGTTGATGCAGGTGGAAGACATGGCCAGGAGGTGGCAGAGGGAAAAAAGCAGGTTGTGGTGGCAGATGGGCAGAGCCTCCAGGTTCCAGTCGGCCAACACGTTGAAAATGGTGAGGGGCAGCCAGCAAAGGGCAAAGGCTGTTATGAGAGCGACCAGCATGATGTTGATTCGCCGGCTGTTGGTGATGCGCTGGTTTTCTGGGGTCCTGGCACGGTCCAACATGTCTTTGCGGTGGCGAAGGCGAACAAAAACCCTGACATAGCAGAGTAGTACCAACAAGAGTGGACCGCAGTATTGGAAAAGAAGAAGCCATGTGGTGTACGCTACCCTGTGTTCATGAGATGGCCAGTGCTCCACACAGGCTTCCATGTGTGGGGAGGTGGGGACATAAGAGAAGAGAGAGCGATATATATTTAAAGGCACAGATGAGTTTCTGTAGGAAGGTGAGACAAACTGGGGAGGAGATGCATTGAGATAAACATGGGGAGACAGCTGTGGGTGGAGTGGTAGCACTACATTGGTATATGGCTCTTTAGTGAGCAACTGAAAGGCTAAAAAAGGCGTGGATGTGAAGCTGGCAAGCACCCAGATAAAAATGACAGCCATGTAGGCCTGGGGAATGCTTGGTTTCCATCCAGATGGGTTAATGATGAGCTGATGTCTTTCTAAAGCAATGAAAACCAAAGACAGCACTGACACTGTCACAGAGACGCACTGAATAAACGGCACCAGACGGCACAGCAGAGACCCAAACACCCAGTGGTCCATAAGTGTATAAATGACAGTGAAGGGGAGACAGAACACGCAAACCAAAATGTCAGAAAATGACAGATTGCAGATGAAAATGCTTGTGACATTGACTTTCTCTCTGCGATGGGTGATGATGCAAATGAGGCCGATGTTCCCTACCAGCCCCAGCACCATTGTAACACTGTACCATACCACAAGGCATGTCGTGAGGATGGGGGACATGTGGCATTGCTCTTCGTGCTCAAGAACAGAGAGGTCTGAGATAATGTGGGTTTTGTTCGTAGACCATCCCTGTACGGAGTCCTGATCGGCCCTTTCCTTCTCCCAAAGCAGAGAGTGTGAAGAGGTGGAGCCACTGAAGAGCAGAGGTAATGCTGGTGTAGAAGGTTTGCTTGTGTTGGCGCTGAAGGACATCTCTCTCTGGAACTAACCATCCATTCCAGTCTACTTGAAACATACATCTGAGAAAGAGAGGTAAAAAAAAAAAAAAAAATTAGGTACAATGAGTTTTATGAGTTTAAATATCTATTCACAACAGATTGTGTGTGAATTATATGCAAAAACAAAATATTTGGATAGATTTGTTAATGCTAACCCTTGCCTAATGATCAAAAAACTTGCAATATTTATGTCTTGTATTAAGGTTTTTTAGAAAAAACATAATCAAATCGCCGCTGAGATGACTAATGATGAACATCAGTCATTGACAGCAATGGATGCACGGTCCCTAGTGATGCATCTTCTGAAGGCTTACATTATTTTTCAAATGTCAGTTGAATTGATTGCCTTGGAACATGACTGATCTTTCATTAACTCAAGCAAGAGCTTGGCAGTAAATTAAGTGAAAAAATGTAATTCGGCTGTCAGAGGAAAGTGCAATAACTGGTAATAACGATCCAATCCTATCTATCAGGCTCCTGGCATTTTTAAGTATCCTGTTTAGAATCTCTTAATGAAATACAGTCCTGATCCATATTTTCCGGTGCTTTCTAAGGTTTTATCATCTGCTATACCAATAGTAAGAAAATGAAATCAGGCAATAGACTAACAATGATGCAACTGTGAGTATTATTTATTATTCTAAATTATGAATATTATTTGATTTTCCTTTGGGATTGATAAAGTATTTTTGAATTGAATTGAATAAAGTTTATCGAGAAACAAAGGGCTTACTTTTACAAGATCATTTAGCATTATCCAACGCTGTTATTGAAACCTTTTTTGTTATATCTTCCTGCTGAATGTCTCCTGACTTCGCCCTCATCACTAGAAGGAGTTTGTGTCTTGATATATCTTGATTGTATTTAAGGAATTGTTTATAACAAGTGAAAAAAACCCAAAACATGATATTTGGCCTCTAAAATACACTTTAATGGATCTGTATCCAGAGAATCAGTGAGGAAAAATCCTACTTTAAACAACTACTAAATAACATAAATGGACAAAATAAAGTTTTAATTAACTAATTTGATATTACAACCAGCCCTTCTTCACTGTGTATTTGCACAAGTTGATATATCTCCTTTAAAGTCATTGCCCTTAAAGTCACATGCTTTTCAAGACGAGGATAACAGCTTCGTGATTCTAAAAATTACCTTGCATACCCTGCAGTAGAGATTTTGCTTTTGCACAGTGACTGATGTGGTACGTCAAAGTGAAGGGGCGTGACATTGTCAGACCCCTAAAAATGGATTCAAACTATTTCCCCTCGATCCTCTGCCATGTGCTGTGAAAGCCAACATCATAAACAAAATGATACTGTCACTTTCTATTAGCAGCACATGCACTTGTCACTTCACGCTGCCTCCGTACTAACCTATCTTGTCAGTGTGTGGACTGAGCTGTGGGCAGCGTGGCGTAGCATTGATCATCCTTTGTTAAAGGGGTGCCTGTTGTATTGCCACCACTGGTTAGATGTATAGCTAAAATCAGATATCCACCAGAAACACTGGAAAAGATACCTGTTGCTTTGAACAGTTTCACCCTATAGGATCTCAACCATAAGCTGGACATTAAGCTTGTAGTGATATTTTGATGGCCTCATCTTTGAGCTGAATCTCTGTTGGGTAAGAGAACATCATGACCTGCCCGGCTCCATCCGCCCAATTTTATTCTTCTTTTCTCCATCTACAGCATCTCCCATCTCTCGGAAAATAGCAGACATAGCAATGAACAAATGGCTAAATGTAATTTTTGCTACCCTTGTTTTTTTGTTCTTACATTAAAGTGGCAACATGTTTTTCCTTTATTAATCTTAAAGTACCTTTTCATTTGCTTTGATGTTTATTAGATATCTTTTGTCAATGCATGGCATCATCACATTTATTAGCGACTATTACCCTTTGATGATGTTATGAGAATGGTTCATGGTAGAATATTTATTATAATAATGTGCAAAAGCCATCAAAGTTCAGGCGTTTAGGGGATTTAATGCTGTTTGTCTACATAGGAATAACAGAGAAAAAGAAAACCATAAGGACACAGCTCATCTGAAACAAAAAATGTTTCATGTTAAAATCAAACTGCTTATTCAAAGCATACATTGTGTTTAAAAAATAAAAGCTGTGATCTTGACTTTTTCTTTCCTACTTTGCTTTTTCAGTATCATGTCAAACATGAATCCATTGAGCACAGATCTAAAGAACTGCCGACATGATAACATTTTTCTCCTCTTTTGCTTCTCTGTGTTAAGATAGCAGTAAACCGTCTGCTCTACTCACCCTATGATAATGACCTGAGGTTCATTGTTCTCTGCTTGAGGTGTTGTGGATTGTAGGCGAGTCCTCTGAATACATTTCCTTTGTAATAATGAATTTTTATCTTCACATTTTTATACAGCCCTCCCAGTAAGTCTTGTTTCCTCAGGTTTTCATTTATTTTTGTTTCCTTTATTCAGTTTAGATGCTAAAACTGCACATACATCTCATAAAATAACGTCAATCATACAGTAATGTTTAAATGCATTCCTCAGAATTAGTTTTAACCTAAATTTACACAAAACAGCTTTATGTCTGAATACAAAGCAACATGATCACATAGAAATAATCCACACTGTTCGCAGTTAAATATTCCAAATCACTTCAGTTGAATTATTATCTTATTCATTACATCATTATTGTCTGGAAGACATTCACTCACGTGTGGCGGAGGCTGAACAAAGAGGTTCTGTGATTCCTTGAAGGAAGGAGAAGATGCTCTGAACAGGTGTGAGTCCACAGGGTGGAGAGTTGTAGAAGGAGCTGAACATCATAATAGCCAGAGCCTTTCTGTCAGAAACAGCAGTGGTGGGAGAACAGCTATAATTGGGCTGCTGGAGCCATTTGGGTGCAGGAGACCCCATGAGGGTCGATCTTTGCTGTCACACAGTGGTGGGATCATTATATTACATCGGCTGCTGTGCAGACTGTGGGCCAAACATTTAGCAGACTGAAAAATTACAGCTGGAAGCTACAAGGTTATTACCAGTTGAATTTAAATCAAGACAAGACAAACTATGATAGCTGCTGTAATATGTTTTTCATTGGCTATGAACTGTGTGTAAGCAGTGTTACCAAATGAAAACATTTCACACAAAGAGGAAAAAAGCATATTGAGGTTGAACTAAAGTTGTCTCTTTTACACTAGGGTTTGCATTGGGTCTTCATAGAGAATTACTCTCATGTGTTTTGTCTGACTAACATTTTATCTCCACCAAACTCACAGGTGCCTTCAGAGGGATCCTTGATAGAATATAGGGAACAAGCCATATTAAATCACAATAAAAAATACTGATAAAGAAATAACTTGGCATAAGTGTATAAGTCAGTTACTAAAAGAGCTGCTCAGCTCCTCTACAGATAGATAGATTTAGAGGAATTTCACTATTTCTACAAATAAAAATCTGGGGACATTCATGCGTATTTAGCCACCCTTAAGCAAAAAAATAAAAAAACAGATAAATTGCTGAAGTCGTATGTTGGAGCATGTTTTTACCAGCTTCATAGATGCATGGGCTGAATGTTTCACCTGTTTGTCTTCATAAAAAAATCAAAAATACACACATAAATCACATAATCGACTATACAACAAGCATATGTAATGTAATTAACTCCATGCCTGGATTTTAAGATCTACTTGGTGGAAGGATGAACTTAGAGATTTCTGCTTCTGGTTTTCTATCAGAAATGCTGCTCTCCAATGTTTACTCTACCAATCCACATCAGCTCTCATCTGCTTTAAAGTTACTGCTGAAGACAAGCATCACCACACACCATATATTCTTTTTAAATCATAGTACTGGTCTCCAAATTTTAAGAGTGACCCTTATGTGATTTGTAGTAAACTCTCTCCAGGACTTCTTTTTCTTTTATTAATGGCTTTTTTTTCTGCCATTCTTCCATAAAGGTTTAATTTGTTGAATGCAGGACTGAGTGTGAAACATAAGCCTCTTTGCTTCTTCCTTGTGCATCATTGATTGCCATATTCTTTCTATTCCCTAATGTTCTTTGACAAACTTTTCTCTCTTGGTACTCCAGCTAACCTCATGGCCAAAATAACATGACTACTACTGGTGTCTCCAAACTGGTGGATGGATGGATGGATTTAGGAAGTTGGAATTTATGCATGTCCAGTTATTCCCATATATTTACATTTGAAAATCTAAAATCATGTATAATCTATTAATCTTTCTAGTTATTTACTACTTTATTCTGCTTTTTAACAAACCCAATGAAGCGCCTTTGAATAGATTTTTGTAATGTAAAAAAGTTCAGTCTCTATGAGTTCTTTCACCAGGCTTTATGTTTAATCAAGCTCTGATCTATATATAGCAGACCTATTTCTAAATGTTCCAGGTAAATGAAAATAAAGGGGAACAAATTGTCCTTCAATATCAAAATTCTACTTTTTCAATCAAAAAAGAAATACAAAAACCACCATCAAGCAAAAAGACCTGATGCCCCCCTCCTCAGCTGTCTGCCTTTATTATGCATAAAGATTAACTATCTTTAAAGCAATTACTTTTTCACACATGCACCTGGAGGTAACATCCACTTGAGATCTCACAACCAGCATACAGGAGGCAGATGTTGGATATAGTAGGCATTGCGATCGAGATCTGGTTTCATGCAACCATAAAGACTCTGTGTTAAGAAGGAAAAACATATATTGTTTTAGACAAAAAAAATCTGTATTGAGGGAAATATTTTATGAACAAGAACCAGATAGAAATCTTACAAGCTGCAGGTGCTCAAACCCTGCTTTGTGCAGGAACACTCCTTGCAATTGCTTACCCATTGAGACTCGAGCCATGCTGCTTCCAATCTTCATCCACACACCCTGAAGATAAAAAACTTAAACCTGTTTTTAAGAAGCAGCTGGTGTGCCTATGTCTCTCTCTCTGATAAATGCACATCTCCTGATAATCATATTTCTGTTTTGATTTTTGATTAATATATATCAGAAGCCAAGTCTAAAAAAGAAATGTGTCCAACAGTAGCCATAATTTCCGTCAAGATGATTCTCAATATTTTACGACAATCATGTTTTTTGTTTGTATCTTTATAAAACTAAGCAAAAATTCCAATTGGCTTTTCTAAAAGCTTTCCAATTAATGAAGAAAGCTACAAACCTTCCCAATTCTTTTCCTGCCCTTTATTGTATATCCTGCATTCTATCTCTTCAGGTTGCAGAATATTACTCACCTTTTGGAGGGTTTGTCAAATCTTTTATCACCAACTCCTGGAAGAAGCAGTCAGAGTGACACGGGACAAAAAGACCCAGCAGACAAAAAACAAGCACATGAAGAGAAGCCTTAAAAAAAAAAAAAAGATTTACCACAACATGGTGTTTTATAGTCTCCTAGTTTATTAAAGCATCAGTCAAAATTTGGGTTTATTACAGCTAAGAAAGCAACATTGCAATTAGAATTGACTGCATTTTGTGTGAGTTAAGATGTCATGATTTCATATTATTACAGAACACGAGAGAGTGCACTGACTTTCTGGTTGTGCAAATTGAATTTTAATGCGTTTCTCTGGGAACAGTTATTTGCTGCTTCAAGCTCAGGCATATTTCCTGACTGTATCAAGCAGCATTAATTATCTGTAAAAAAGAAAAACAAAATAATTCAATACCTTCTTATTGGTTTTACTAGTCTTTGTTGTTCTACTGTTGTTTAAAAAGCTGATTTCATCCACAGACCAAACTGAAATAACTGAATAAGCAGAGAGTAATTTGAGATAGTGGGAAATTCACAAATAATATTTTCACTTTGTCTGCAATGATGGTTTTATTTACTAATATGTATATAAACCTTAAAAAAAAAACTTGAACCATAGAGTACAAAAAAAAAATGTATTCTAAAACATACAGGAGTCTTAATGTGTTGTGATCAGATGAGATCTGATCCAGTCAAAAACAGGTCAGTGTTTGAGAGTCACAGTGATGGGTCACATAGGATGGTGTGCAGCCCTGCATATCTTCAATTCAAATATTTAAACAGTGATATCAGACACTTAAGATGAGGAACACGAATACAGATCATGTTTAAGTTGCACATTCAAGAGCCTGTTTTTTTTAGAAGAAAGAGACAACTGCCTTCGAATTGATGCAGCATGCTTCTTTTTGGAAATTTCTAAACACAGAATTACATTTTAGGACCAACATAATAGTTTTCCTTAGCTGTTAACTTAATTCATAAGATCAAAGACAATTTACTAGAAAAAGGCAAGGTTATAGTAAAGATCTAAACATAGGTTGACTAATTTTCTGTCAACCAAATAAAGGAGAATGTAAAGTACTTCATATTAAGCCATCGTCAGTAATTATTTAAGATGCCAACCAAAAAAAAGGAAAAAAAACCAATAGTATTAAAACCTGAATTTTAAATTTAAAACTGATTGTAACAAAGCAGCTATTCATTTCTGATGCAAAAAGGCAGAAATAAAAATCTCCCTGAAGTGGACTTTTATTTTTTTGTTAATCTGTAGGAGGTAAGGTATTAGGGTGCATATAGAGAAAAGGCGAGTTTGGTTGCACTTACTGAAGCACTCTTTGCAAAAATACATGAGCTTTCAGCAAATTTAGTCTGTAAAACACAGTCTTTTGCATTATTATTATTATTAGTTAGATAAAAAAAAAAAAAAAAAAAAACACAAATGACATGTAAACATCCCCAAAGTAGAAGTTAACGATAGTAGTAACTCAAAGTGTATTATCGTCCAGAAAATGCCACATACACTTTGCTTTTATTAAAATAAAAGTCAGTGTTTTTTATTCATTTGTAAATGTGCGATTTAAATATTAGGGAACATGTAGTAAAAGCCATATTCTGTCAGATCTGTCAACTAAGGAATATGCATATCATGAGAGAGCTGAAGCTAGCTTTAGCAGAAAGCTATTCCAAAATAATTATTTTCACCATTTCCTACTTAGATTGATCAAATGTGTTTGGTTTTTTTCTTCAGTTTTGGCTAAAACTATAGATTATTTCTGCTTTTTAGACAACTAGCTGCTAGCTTCATATTTAGCAGACTGACAGCAGTGGTTTACATTTTCTCATCTTTTTGTATAGAGTATAAAATCTTAAACTATTAATTTGAACCTGAGTAAAACATGATTCATTTTGTAAATAAGGAAAAAAAAATACTTATGTAATAAAAGGATATTTTGAGGCACTGATGTGAAAGCTCAACTATTCCTGAAAACTATTTATCCAATTAAATGTTTCATAAAGGCTGGTTTGTTGAAGGGCCAGTTATACTGGTTGGGGACGGGTCCATTTACGTTGCACTCAAAGAAGGAGAACATGGGGAACCAAATGCGTGCTCTTCGACTGTGCTGATAGGCACGAGTGTTGGCTAAAGTGTGGTAGTAGAGGAAAAGGCGGGTGGTGATGTAGAAGGCGATAAAGACGTCGATGGAGTAGTGCTCGTGAGCCGCCAGAATAAAGAAGATCCCAAATAGGTTTAACACCCAAGAGATGGTATGAATCAGATTCCAGTTCCTTGGCGTGTCTGAAAGTACAATAAATTAGTAGTTAGTCTAAGTCTTTTGTGTTTTTTGGTGAACATTTCATAATTTTCCAGGCGTCTCAGAGACATCGGAGCTACGGCACGCCCGATTAAAATAGTTGCATTATTGCAAAAGCATTCACTTAAATTCTGCAGGAGGTAGTTAATCACACTATTTATTGAAGTCAGGTATGTGGCAGTAGGGAACACCTGAAACACGTGGGCCAGGATTAGGAATCCCAGGGGTCTAAGTGAAAGGACAGGATGAGAAAAGGACACAAAGAAGGAAAGAACGAGGGACACGAAGAAATGGGAAGAATGGGAGGAAGGAAGGAATACAGGGACTAAGGAAAGATAGGAATTAGGATGCAGTGAAGAAAGCGAAGAACAACAGAAGGACATGAGAGATGAAAAAAGAAGAGGCAGTGAGCAAGGAGGGAATTTAGGAAGGACAGACATAACATTTTGACAATATGATAGAGAACTCTATTCTTTATCTTTTATTATATTTTCAGTGATAATCCAGAACAGGGACATACTGAAATAAAATTCCCTACTTTTCTAGACTGTGTGGGAAACCTGTGAATATTTCAACACAGATTATTTTAAGATGATTCTAAATATTCATTTTATTACCTTATTTGTTCAGTCTGGTCCCATGCTAACAAATAAACAAAGCTTTGGTTTTAACTGTTACACAACCTTACAAACAATCACACAGATTTCCTAAATATGAGTAATACAGTAAGAAGAAAATGTATTTACAGTGCACTAGTTTTATTAACAATAGATAGTTTACAACATTACTATTATTTTATTGGTATAATCTTAAATTCCAATTTTGGCATCTACAACTCAAGAAGTTTGTTTACAACTTACATTAGTCATTTTCACTTTTATACAATTGTCTGGAATATAATTAGAAATGATGCTGATGAATATTTTGGGTATTCCTGAGTATTTATTAACTGATCCTAGACCACACAGAAAAAAACAACTTGATCAACATTTTCACTTCAGCTATTCCTAATTATTTTAAACCGGACAATGAAAGCAGACAAATAATGATACTTGCATTCAGTCACAAAGAAGTTGAGCATTGTGATGACCACTGTGTGTCCGCTGAACATGTAGTCTCCGCAGGTTTGGACACCGGTAAGAGTCATCCCAAACCCACTCCATATGGCCAGGGCTCTCTGGATCTTTCCCCAGGTGTCGCCATACGACTGACGGGACAAAATAAAAACAAAGCGAATAAAAACTTGCCTCATTTATGTACTTGACTATCTTTAAAGTATCTCCTCTGTTTTACCCACCAGACTGGCACACTTTAGGTGCTGCCCTGGCACAGAGAGAGAGGTGACAAACATGGTGCAGCAACGAAGCAAAAACACCGTTCCCATCAGAGAGCACAACCGTCTGAGAAGAATTGACCTGGAACACAGACGGGGTAAAAGCTCGGATCAAACTCTTGGCATAGCGAGCAGACTGGAGCGTGATTGGAATCAGTATGGGCACCTGTGCTTGTGAAGGAGCAGGATCAACACAAACATGTAACACAAGATAAGGCCGCAAGCCTCAGCCATCACAAAAGCCCAAGGGATTCTGGGTACACTAAGAAAGAGGGACAACATTCATATCAGTATGTAGATTAGATGAAGCAGCAGGAGAACACGTTCATGAACCAAGGAGATTAAGTTGCTTAGCGAGGACTAAAATCCCCTTGTGTGTTTTTTTTTCGGGCAGTTATTGCAAAATGCACAAGATAAGAAGGCTGGTTCATACCTGTCCAGGAAAATATCAGGAAGAGGCGGATAGGTCCTCATGTCAGGGACACGTTCGTGCACAATAACCATGACAAAAGAGGTCAGTCCGCACACTAAGAACACATATATGGAGCTAAGAACGGTCTTCCACACCTCCGGATCCAATCTGCCTGCCATTGGCTGATGAAACGTCCCATTGGAGTGTGTTTGACAGAGCGTTGGCCCAGGCACACATCCAAGTCTGCTGCTGTTTCTCAAACGCAGCTCTGTGCCGTTACACAAACGATCTGCTCCATTACACCCATAGTTCCACTCGACCCTGGGAGCACCTAGCGAGAGTCCAGCAGGGGGAGTGTCTAAAGGCCACAGACCCAGCTCCTCTAGCTCTGACCTATTCTCTCTCTGGAGGCGGCGGAGGACAATAGTCAGTCTTTTGACGTCTCCCAGCACGGTGAGGCTCAGTGGAGGACCCCGCAGATCGGCCTCAGTCAGAGCCAGCAGACTGAGGCCATCAACGCGGTGCTGCGAACACAACAAGTCCACATACTGCCCGAATCCTTCCCCCTGCAGCCACTGGGCGACTTGATCACAGCTCCAGGCACTCACACGGCCATCAGACTCAGACATCCTACTGCAAACAGAAACACAGGCACCATAAATGCATGTTATGCTTCACGAAAATGAGTGCTCGCATTTACTTCGAACACTGCAAGAAGTAAAATACAAATTATAAATCAAAAGGTCTTAAAATAAAATGTAGAATGCATTATTATTCAGTAATTCGGATTACTGGAGTGCACGTTTAAGTAGATTTTTGCACAGAAATTGTCCCACCTGAGCTGTGAATCCGTGCAGCTCTGCCAGAGCAACACTCTCAGTTTCCAGTTCAGACTAGTTTGCATTTGTCTGGTTTTTGATTTCTAGATGGAAGCATTTTTCCTCAACTCTCATCTGATATTTAATTTTCCTTATGGATCAATTAAATATTCTTAAATCACCACTTTCCTCTGTCTAAATGATGCAGTTTGTTCATTAATGTTCTTCAATGGTACCGTGACAACGCAACTTAATCCTTTATCTGAAGGCAGTCAGTTGCCCGGCAATTCTTTTAACTATCATGAATCATAATTATATCATATTAAAAGGGATTAAATACATATACAGACAATACAGTTATCAGATATTTCTTTGCTAATTCTTTGTGCTGAAAGGTGTTTACAAATATGCAAACCTTCGTCGTTTTTATGACATAAAAATAAGTAAAATAGTTGGTTTGTACATGTCAAAGTACCTTTTAATGTGTTCTTGCAAAGCACCACATTCTGCTGATCATATCCACCTTCTACTAATATCTAGATTTGTATTGTGCAAAACATTCAATAGGCTAAGACTTTACTTGCCAAGTTATATCTTTAAATGTTAAGTTAAACCTTAAAAGGTTCAAAATTCCTGCACATGTACAGCTCTAATTTTCCAAAATAAAATCAAAAGTTTTATTTCAGCCTAAATAAGAAGGTTAATTACTAAGTCTGTTACTCATATATCCCTTCACCAGCTGTTTACTAGGTAAAAGAAATACAACATTCTGCCCAGTTATTCTCTTTATTACTTTACCTTATAAATATTTATCAAAAGTCGTTTGGAAAATGCATCCAGTATGTCCTATAAAGCCTTTTCATTTCATGGGATTTATCATAACATCCTGCAAGCTTTCAGTGCAAATGCATTGTTTGCGTTCAGGTGTTTTGTAGCTTGTAGCATAAGTATGCAGTGTGTTACCAGATAAAGGTCAACCCAAAGCAAACAATTATCGCCTATATCCTAATGCTTGGTAAGAAAACAAATGAACTCATCGGTTAGAGAAACTCACTGGGAGTTGCAGACACTACATGATTTTAGACAGAAACAAAGTGACTTTTTTTTTTCCATATAGACTCAACAAAGATGAATGACTTTTGGTACTTCAGCTCTTTTTTAGTTTTTACCTTTTGACCTTTGTGATAAGCTCACAGTGATGTTGCTCCAAAGGTCTGCGACTCTGAATCAACGTGACTGGATTCATGTTGAGTTTTTTTGGAATGAGCGATAGTCTGCATGCTGAGAAGGCACATGTCGAACTAAAAGCCACTACAGCAGACTGCTTGCAACCTATAACACATTAAACACTGCTGGAATTTAAGATATATTACACCTTAGATTAACATTAATGCTAATTGGAAAACACTCTTTCACTATATTGACTTTGGTTTAGCAAGTGAGCAATAAAAACATATCTATGTGTCCTTCTGTCAGTCAAGTTGCATTTCGCCCATTATATGTTACATGTTATTAGGGCCTCAACTAACGAGTATTTTTGCTAATCGATTTTCAATTAATTGAGAAAGGTTCCTTAAAAAAGTTTCGTTTTTTTACAAAAATAAACCAGGTGAAACTCAAACTTTTCCACTTGAGGAGTTCTGAATAAAGTATATTGATACACAACTTTTTTTTTATATCTTAAAATATCTGTTATATATATAAATATATTTTTACAATTGTTGTATAATTACTGCTCTAAGTGGGTTTTGTCTCAGCTAAAGGCGTGTTTTACACTCTGTCTACTCCATTTAACAATTAATCGATTACTAAATTAGATGATGATTATTTCAATAATCGATTAATCACGATTAATCTGATTAATTGTTTCAGCCCTACATACAATATATACAAATTTGTTGATTATGCCAGGCCTGATTCAAAACGGTAAGTCCAAGCTGTAAAAATATACAAAATCTTCTTTGGAAAACAGCCTTTTCACCTGCTAAACACATATTTTAATCCATAACTATTTGTCGCTTTATGTTTAGCAAAACAAAGTGATGATAACTTAAAACTTGTAAAATAAAACCTTTTCTTGCCAACTGTTTCGCTTAAAATGATAATATCCACTACTGAAATCCGATGTTTACATATTCCAACATATTTTCTCCAGATGCTGTCTAATCTTGTGAATCTCACTGTAGCACAACCAAGTGCAATATGCCTGTTTTTGTTTACTGTAGTGTTTAGTTAAAAAACAAAAAGCAAAGTCATAAACTCTAAAAGTCATCAGAAACTCAGAGCAGGCAGGAAAAGCCTGCTTCTCTAACCATCTGGTAGCCTCATTATCTCTATGCTGTAAAACATGTGTCATCGCCCTTTGATTCCTGTTGAGAGAAACAATACAAACTCTAAGTTTTGGAACAATCTTCATACTGTAGTTCTACAGATATAACTCTAAATTAAAGTTTAAAAAAATGAGTGAGGATAAAACTAAAAGTTCAGGTTGTTGTCCTGGCATTTTAGGGTAAACAGCCTCACCCAACATAACATCACTTCACTGAAAGTTGTCATACAGGCTCAAACAAGAGAAAGGCTTTGCTGAAAAAGATAAAGTAATTAATTTTACTATCAGAGTGAATGCAAATCCCCCAAAGGCTGCACCAGAGACTGGCCCCCACACAGAGGTGACACATATTTACATTAATGACTCACCAGCACAGCTATTGCTCTGCACCAGGAGGAGAGATTGCTTATTTTAAATCTAGACACCAGAGGCTTTACTTGAGATGAAGTAGTGCCATGTCAGCACATTTAGAAATCTTCCACTGAGTCACAGGGAAGCAGTGTCACCCAGCAGGACACAGAAAGCTCCCAGTGTGTCTCACACAAAGACAGCTAAACAAAGGACTTACATTGTCCCCAAAACCCAGCCACATACATTATGCTCTCATAGAAAATCTAAAATGTGTGTAGATATATTTAACTTGGATTAAATAAGTCACAGAAGGCACAGTATTTCAGGGTAAACTTGCTTTAAATATAATATGAACTAAGGTTTTCCTACCTTGAAAGGGGCGCGGTGTCACTGTGCTGTTAGTCGTCTCAAATACACTTTCAGCCTGTTTCTCCACTCCCAGGATTGTGTCATGGCCAGCATCATGGTTTCAGAGATCTAGGCAACACCAAACAGGAAGACGGTATTAATAAACAACAGTAGCAAAGAAGATCTCCGCGCGCCAAGAAGATTGTAGTTTGGAACACACTGCCCTCTGCTGGCCAGTCCTTTGACCTGCAGGGATCTAACTACAGGCACTGTTACACTGCATGGAGAAAAAAGGGCAAAATAATAATTTTGTTTGACCTTTTTTATTAAACCCATAAAGTTGCTTTTAAAGACTGACATGTTTGCAGACTAATTTGAAATTATTATTTTGTTTTGTTTTGTATATTTATGTGTCAGATTGCACCAGCTGTTTGTGGCAGTCACTGACATTGGGGGGGGGGGGGGGGGGGGGGGGGGGGGGGCTTTACAGGAAAACTACACAGTGGTGTAAGCAAGCACTTAAAAAAAATGACAGACGGAAAGCCACCCACGGGTGTTGTAATGGGAGAAAATTGTGATTCAGAGGACTCAAGGGAGACAGATAAAGAAGAGGGGAAAGATAAAACATGCAGCACAGGTCAGACTCCAACTCTACAGGAACTCGAGGAGATCCTGCATTCAGCACCACGCTCATGTCACCATGCAGATGAGGTTTGGCCGAATCTCTTTCTGGGAGACATGTGAGTATCCTGGGATGTGGATATGTACAGCCCCTGCCAATACTCTGTTACAACCATAAACTTTGGTATGTTTATTTGGATTTTTTCTTTGACACCATTGCAAAGTAGTGTGTCCAGTAACAGGAGAATGGTTCAAAATTTAGACTTTTCAAAGGTCAACCATTTACCTTAACTACAATGAGAATGTAAACTTTGGAGGAGCTGCAGGCAGGAGAATCACTGAGATAAAAAAAGACTTAACTTGCACTCAACAAATCTGAATTTTATCAAAAGAATTACATCACGTTTGTCTAAATGGATAAGCCTTGAAAATAATCTGATACAGGATGTAAGTCTGGGATCAGGGATGCCGCCAGGAATTTGGGGCCCCATGAAAGACATTTTTATTGGCCCCTGCCCAAAAAAAAATGTATGTAAGCTTTAAAGCTGCTATAAAGATGCATTGATTTGTTTAATTTGCCATTGACAGATGGGGAGAACTGATGCGATGCAGGACTGGTCAATATATTTCTGCTTTGCTTTGCTGTTGTCCCACTATACTTGAAAAGTATAGTGGGACAAATCTTTTCTTCTTCTTTTGGGGCCCCCTTCACTCAAGGCCCCTTAGAATCTTCCTAACTGTTCCCCCCTTATGGCGCCCCTGTTTGGAATGGAGGTTCAACCTCCAGAGGTACATAAACTATAAACATACAGAGAACTCCGACTGGATGCTATTAGAAGGACAATGTTTAATTTCAGACCCAAATACAAATACAAATCTGCAGAAAGACTTTAAAACCTGATGTTCAGTCCGTAGGAGTGCTGAAAAGAGGAATGTGTTGGTAGTGCTGGATTGAACCTCTAATAGATGAAAACCAGGTATGATTGACCATCTATGTTATAATAACTTAAGGTGCTGGTTTGTCATATACAATCCCCAAAAAATAAACAGGTGCTCACAAAGATATAATTCATTTTTCAACATATGCATTATGCTTATTAAAACTATACTTCAAGCTGAATCTTCCCCTCATTCCAGGTTTATGTCTCATAATAAGTTTGAACTCTGGCAGCTGGGCATCACTCATGTGCTGAACGCCTCCCATAGGAAACTCTGCTGCAAAGGCAGAGATGATTTCTATGGAACCACAGTGAAATATTACGGAGTTCCTGCCAACGATCTACCTACATTCGATCTCTCGCCTTTTTTCTACCCTGCAGCAGAGTTTATCCACCTGGCTTTGGCATCAGGAGGTACAGTCGGCAGCTCCTGATTAACAAACATGAAGCAAGTGGAGTTTCATACTTATGTTTTTATTTATTTATTTATTTTTTTAGGGAAGATTTTTGTACACTGTGCTGTGGGAGTGAGCCGCTCTGCTGCGCTGGTTTTGGCCTACCTGATGATTCATCATAACTTCAGTCTCCTATCTTCAATGCGCTGTGTGCAACAGCAGCGCTGGATTTTTCCTAACAGAGGATTTATACGACAGCTTATTGACCTAGAACAAAGTCTGTGTGTCCAAAGACAAAATTAGCTCAAGCAGTTTTTATGGCTGGTTAAATTAGTTTAGCTTTTTCCCAGTTGTTGCCATTGATTTTAATGATAAGGCAGGTTAAAAATCAGGCAGAATAATTGTCAACTGGATGTTTATTGGATAAAAAAATACTAAAATGAACAGAAACAAAACACTAAGTTGCAAACGACTAAGTCATAGTTGATGTAGTGAGATAGAGAGGTTTAAGTGTAGAAGAATAGAATAGAATTCAACCATATTGTCATTACACTCTCACAAGTACAAAGCAATGAAATGTAGTTTGCATCTATCCAGAAGTGCTATACAGGATCTACATTTTTATTTACATGTGCACAGAGACTATGTATGTATTGACTATAAATGGTATATATAAACAGAGAGTTTATAAAATAAATAAATATGAAAACTATAAACAGGTTATACAGGAATAATGACAGATAATAGCAGATAAAAGATTTAAAGATTATATACAGCTATGGTTGATACTTGATTTAATAACAAGGGTGAGAACCAGGAACTAAGCAGATGCCTAAACAGTAAGGAAGCATATATCTAGAAATGATCCCTAAGCTAAACTTTAACAGAAACTAAAACACAAACCTAAAACAGAATAACAAATGTCCCTTTTTATATCATTAATTCCCACAGATCTTTATACTAGGATGACATCTTGCATTTTTACCAGAATCTGGCTTCAGCTAATATAACCCTAGTGTTGAGAGTAAGAGAGAGAATCAAACACAAACAAACCAATCAATCCCACAGCAACATTAGGTAACTCTAACGTCCTGCCAGAACCAATGCTGTGAAAACTGCAGGCTAATTTTGGAGCAGGGTTGAGTGCTTCCCAATAAATCATCCAGCTGTTCGTGCCTTTCAGCGAGATGATGAAGGGGCAGTGGGTTGTGGCAGCAGGGGCAGCGCAGGCGTCTGCTCAGAGTCGGACTCTGAGCAGAGGAAGAATGTCGAGGAACGGCCAGCGTCAGAATCTGGTGGTCATTAAGGAACTTGAGCTGATCTTGGACTCCTGCAAACTGGAGCTCACACCTGTGGATGAAGTCTGGCCCAACTTGTACATAGGAAATGTGTGAGTGTACTGTGTTTGAAAGCAGAGGAAATATATCTTCAAGCTTTGTGTTACAACTTTGATCATTTTTGCACTGAGATGGTGGAGAACCTTAACTAAACTAAACTAACAAAAATATTTGAGGCAGTCTACTTTTATTGCCTATTTAAAGCAAACATTATTGCACAGTTTGTGCTTATAAATTGGGGTTATATATTACAATAAGAACTGTTTTTAAAAATGACTTGTTTCCTTTTATTCACAGGGCTGTTGCACAGAACAAAAACACATTATGTAAGTTCAGCATCACTCATGTTTTGAACGCAGCCCACTCCAAACAGGGCAGCATCGGTGACCAGGGCTTTTATGGGAACATGTGTGTTTACTTTGGCATCCCTGCAGAAGACTCAGATCACTTTGACCTCAGCCAATACTTTAAATCTGCTGCAGACTTCATTCATAAAGGCCTGAAGAGCAAAGATGGTATACCTCTTTAAATATATGTTTTAAATTGAGTAAAAATGTATTTCTTATCAATTTTCTTAATCATTTTTTCTCCTCTTTTCTCTTCAGGGAAAGTGTTGGTTCATTGTATTATGGGTGTGAGTAGATCAGCCACATTAGTCCTGTCCTACCTCATGTTAAAGCACAATTTTTCACTTAGAGATGCCCTGAGGCATATTGTCAAAAAACGGGCCATTTATCCCAACCGGAACTTCCTGACTCTCCTCCTGAAGCTGGACGAAGAGTTGACCCGAAAAAGGATGCTGTGCCCTGTTCTCTGACATAATTATCTCCCTGCTTTGTCCTTGGCATGTATCATACTCCATTTTGATCACATGGGCAGCAGCTGTAAATAGCACGTTTATGTAACCCCAAAGAATACATTCTTAAAGAATTTTTCTTTCACTTTTTTAATTTCATAAATGTGTCTATTTCTGAAAATTATATTAGTTTTGAATTTCTACATCCTAAAACAGTTTATGGGATAACAGCTAATGACAGTTAAACAATATAGTTTTATCTTTATGTACATAAAGCTTAATAATTAGACTCCAAAATTAAAGGAGCTCACATTGGTTCTGGAAAGGACAGATTAATAAACCTGAAAATGTTCTGTGTGCTCTACTTTTCGTAGTGGACCAAACGCTGCTTTAATTTGTATTGTCATTGTTTCTTACACATATATTTGGTTGTTTCTTTGTGCTTTGATGCAACAATATGTCTTCCAATTGAAACCAAATAAAACTATCCTTTATTTCTTTTCTTCTTTTTTTTTGAATGATGGGGCAGGGACTGTTGTGATGCTGCAAGAACCTTTTAGATGTAAATCAAAGTTAAATTAGTTTATTTCCCTAAACTGCTCCTTCACTGGAAAAGGTATAACCTTGCTCAAACTAAAAAAATGATGTCCAGATATCACATGTAAAATATTTGACTTCACAGAATCTGAATTTAATCGCTTGCTGTCACCTGAATATATTATGTTGATGTTAGCAATAAAACTGCACTGACACAACTTAAAATCTTTGCCCTGTTCCAAATTATTTTCTGAACATTTCAGTTGATGAACCAAACTAATATATTGACATTGGACCAACCTAATATGCTTACTTTTAACTAAATTAACAAGAATTAATGTTTGTATAGATTGTATACATTAATCTAAATATAACCAAATTAGATTTTTCACATATCATTTGACTTTACTTCAGAAATAATTTCCACTTCCGATCTTACATACTCTATACACCCTGGACAGGTTGCCAGTCCATGGCAGGGCAACACAACCATTCAAGCACACACTCACACCTAAGGAGGTTATATAGAAAAGCCAACTAACCTAACAATCATGTTTTTGGAGCTAGAGTACCTGGAGAGAACCCACACATGCTCAGGGAGAACATGCAAACTCCATGCAGAAAGATCCCGGGCTGGAATTGAACCCGCAACCTTCTTGCTGCAAGGTGCTAGCCACTGCGCCACTCTGTCATAGTCTGGGACTTGGACTAGATCACGTGCTCTGACTGCATGCAAAGCGCAGTTCACATTTGACCAAAACAAAAAAAATTACCTGCAGGCCATGAATAAATATATACATATTGAGAGAAATCAAAAACTTTGTTTTGGGTCCTTTGTAAATGTACTTAGTTCAGGTTCAATCAAACTTGATGTCTCAAAATCCAAAAGAATGAGTTACACAATTAAATACATAATTTTATCTAGTTTAGAGTGAAAAGCATTAGTTTGAATGAACATTTATTTGTTACACTTTCTTCAGTGTTGGTTCTAAGTTTGTATATATATTTTTGTTTGTTGTATGTTTCTCTGTGTTGCTCAGAGACAAATTTACAATCTGTCCCCAATGTAGCACCTCTCCAATGCCAGCTGAAAATAGCGCCCAGCTCCTGTGAAAACTCACAATGTTTAGAAGGCATGGACCATATGTGAATTGAGGATATTTTTTAGTTGTTTGCTTTTGTCTAGTTTAAAGTTTACTCTTCCTTTTGGGAAAATATTTTTAAAATTTTATTTGAATGATGACCTTTTTCTGTGTGAAATGATTACAAAATCTCAAAGCATGAAATCGATGCAATACTTGATACACTCACCGGCCACTTTATTAGGTACCCCATGCTAGTAACGGGTTGGACCCCCTTTTGCCTTCAGAACTGCCTCAATTCTTCGTGACATAGATTCAACAAGGTGCTGGAAGCATTCCTCAGGGAGTTTGGTCCATATTGACATGATGGCATCACACAGTTGCCGCAGATTTGTCGGCTGCACATCCATGATGCGAATCTCCCATTCCACCACATCCCAAAGATGCTCTATTGGATTGAGATCTGGTGACTGTGGAGGCCATTTGAGTACAGTGAACTCATTGTCATGTTCAAGAAACCAGTCTGAGATGATTCCACCTTTATGACATGGCGCATTATCCTGCTGAAAGTAGCCATCAGAAGTTGGGTACATTGTGGTCATAAAGGGATGGACATGGTCAGCAACAATACTCAGGTAGGCTGGGGCGTTGCAACTATGCTCAATTGGTACCAAGGGGCCCAAAGAGTGCCAAGAAAATATTCCCCACACCATGACACCACCACCACCAGCCTGAACCGTTGATACAAGGCAGGATGGATCCATGCTTTCATGTTGTAGACGCCAAATTCTGATCCTACCATCCGAATGTCGCAGCAGAAATCGAGACTCATCAGACCAGGCAACGTTTTTCCAATCTTCTATTGTCCAATTTCGATGAGCTTGTGCAAATTGTAGCCTCAGTTTCCTGTTCTTAGCTGAAAGGAGCGGCACCCGGTGTGGTCTTCTGCTGCTGTAGCCCATCTGCCTCAAAGTTCGACGTACTGTGCGTTCAGAGATGCTCTTCTGCCCACCTTGGTTGTAACGGGTGGTTATTTGAGTCACTGTTGCCCTTCTATCAGCTCGAACCAGTCTGGCCATTCTCCTCTGACCTCTGGCATCAACAAGGCATTTCCTCCCACAGAACTGCCGCTCACTGGATGTTTTTTCTTTTTCGGACCATTCTCTGTAAACCCTAGAGATGGTTGTGCGTGAAAATCCCAGTAGATCAGCAGTTTCTGAAATACTCAGACCAGCCCTTCTGGCACCAACAATCATGCCACGTTCAAAGTCACTCAAATCACCTTTCTTCCCCATACTGATGCTCGGTTTGAACTGCAGGAGATTGTCTTGACCATGTCTACATGCCTAAATGCACTGAGTTGCCGCCATGTGATTGGCTGCTTAGAAATTAAGTGTTAACGAGCAGTTGGACAGGTGTACCTAATAAAGTGGCCGGTCAGTGTATAATTTATGTATTGCATTTAATCTGGGATTTTATTCTGCGAATCAGACAGTGTCACAATGAACAGGGCTTCTCAGAAAGCTTAATGTTAGTCTACTTTGAAACAGCTTTGATGTGTTTATGCAAAGTAGTTTTGTGTGTTTTATTATTAAATGCCCACTTAAGTTGAATTTTAAGTAATTGGCAGCACCCCACAATTTCTATTATAACCCCTTCATTGTGTAGCACAGTGATTCCCGATCGGGGGTAGGCGTATCCATAGTGGTCTGCTAGTGCATTGCAAGGGGTATATGAAAATATTTTATTAGGTAGTGAAATAAAATAGGGCTGGGATCTGTTTTGCTTTGTGAGGACTCAACAAGAAGCTTTTTTTAACAAAAGAGTATGTTTTTCTTTGAGTTCACCTTCAGCTTTGACACACATCCAAACACAACAGAGGAACAGACTGGATGTAGAGATCAGCTGGTTTTCTCACTGAGCTATTGGAGCTCATCAAAGCGGCTCATGAATCTGGAAATAAAAGTAAAATAAATTGAGTCAGTCTGACTATAACTTTTGTTTAGTATTTTGTTTCCAATTCAACAAGTTTCTATGTGACTACATTTGAGTTACTCAGAGGAGCTCCAGATTTATAAAGGCAGATTTATAGTAGAATTTTATTCTGTATCTATTTTGATTCCTTACTAGGTTCCAGGCAACATATTTATGTTGCTTTTTTTTATTTGAAATAGAAACAATTAAATGCCTGAGAATTAAATGCATATTTTATAATTAGTTATTGTACATTCGACTTTTGGGCAATCATCCAGCGTGCCAAACCCACAGCATGACTGCCACAACTAACAGCTGATGCAGATCCAAGGAACACATTTACCCAGAATCCCCATCTTATTGTCACATCTGTCATCTCATCAGTTCTATGTGTTATCATTTTCATCTTCTGCTTCTGTTAGTTTTTCCTCTGGTTCCCATTAAAATTCAGTGCATTATTATATTTGACTCCTTGTTTTTTTGCATTTCCCCCTGTTAAAAACATTTAAAGACAAAACATTTATTTGTATACGACTGCTATGAGGAGGAGCAGACAGCGTAGTTGCTGAAAGGTAATTTTAACTCCAAGCGAAACAGAGGGAAAAAAACTTGATCTAAATTGGTGGAAACCACCCTAACAACAAATGGAATGATTATGAAACAAAGAGCTATACTAATTCTGAAAAGAAATGTGGTCACATTTGCAAGATTATCAGCGATGCTTATCTTTGGCTGCAATACATAATTTGGAGGATCTATTTATAAATCACTGGATTGTCATTTTGATCCTCAGATTACAGCAAATCCACAATAGACTCAAACTTGGAAGCAGTTAAACTGAAAATGCATTTCAATGACTCTGACAGGGTTACAGAGGAGAGTGCAGGACAAATGTTAGGTCTCAGCAACAGGATGGCCCAGGTAACCACCCAAACCTATTTATTGTACGCATATTTAAAATAAAGCGATATAGTACCAAATATATCACAAAAAAAACATGCATTAAGTATTGCATATTCTTCACCAAAATAAATAAATAAAGTCTATTTAAATATGGGATTGAAAAATAAACAGAAATTCTTGCAACATGCTTAGAAGAAGAAGGCAATGACAATATAATAATGAGAAAAATGTACATTTGTATTCAAATCATGCTATATCAAAACAAGTAAAGAACAGAGGTACTGTACATCATGTTTCTGTTTTGCATTCTTGGTCTTCCATTTCTCTTTTGCGTCTCAGCTTGTCCTCTTGCAGTGTGATGTCCAGGGCTCTGAGTTGTCTCAGGAAGCCGTGATTAGGCAGGATGCAGCGATGCTGCCGCACATGCTCGATCGCTTGCACTACAGTTAAGTTGTGCTTCATCATCAGGTACGCCAACACCAGAGTGGCTGATCGGCTTCGTCCCATCACGCAATGAACCAGCACCTTATCTGAAAAACAAAATAGGTGGAATCACGAAAACTGAAAGCACCTTTATCAGTCTAAGCCTATAGATATGCATCCGTTATTGACAAGAAAAACCTGGTTGATCAAGTTCTGCTCCAGAACTCACTCTGTGGCTGGCTAAGGGCCTCACAGATAAACTCTGATGCTGAGAAGAAGTACTGGGAGATGTTGAAGGAGGGTTTGTCATCAGCTTCCACACCAAAGTACTGGATGTTCAGGTCACTGTAGTAATTAGCACCGGTTAGAACATTGTTCCACTTGGCTTCTGCTGCATTTAGGACATGAGTGATACCCAGGTCCCTGAGCCCAGGCCGCTCAAGAGCGGTTTTCCTGTTTTAATTAAAGACATCCAATGAGAAGCTTTCAGCACAAACTCTTAATTAAACAGTTATTGCACAAGTGCATTCATAAATATGAAGCAGTTTATGAAAACTCACTCATCTCCGATGTAAATTCTTGGCCAGACCTGATTAACATGAGTATACTGAGCTGTGGTGCCGGTCCATAAGAGCTGCTCCAGGTCTAATGTTCCTGGTGTGATGTAGTCACTGTCTGGGTCTACCTGCACAGCTGCATACGGATTCTTTGTTCTGGATTTCACTACACAGGTGGTCATTTTTGATCATTTATTCTTAAAAAACAAACAAACAAAAAAAACATCACAAATCCCTGTTAAAAAGATGTATTATGTACATTTAATGGACACAGTGTATGATACAGTATTTGAAATATCCAGGGTGTTATATTTAAAGATGATTAAAAAAATCAAAATGAAAGTGATAGTTCACTTCCTCAGTGATACCCTTCTGCCTGAAAGAAGCAAAAAATCATCATCTTTGACCTTTATTCATGTACATCTTGATACACAATGCTTTCTTATCTTATTATCTAAAAAGCATATTTTTCTTGGAAAGCTGGTGGCACCAGGAGGATAACTGGCTAGGCAGTTAGAAGGGAGTGTTGGCCTAGGAGTTAGGGCATAGAGCTTGCAATCCTGAGGTTCTGAGTTCTAAACCCACTCCCACAGACTGCCACTCTGGTTTTCTGAGCAAGACCCTTAACCACAGTGGCAGCCCACTGCTCCCCAAGGGAATGGGTTAAATGCACAGGTGCATCCTCCAATGCAGAGGTAAATTACTCCAATGTGAGATCAATAAATACACAGTATACAGAAGCGGTGTCTGATGGCGGCTGTTTTCAGTTCCCTACATCTACTGATCTCAATGAAGCAGTTGGTGCTTGACTCTGTAGTTATTGAAATCATTTAGAAATGTTGAGCTTATTCTAAACTTTTGTCTTCCAATCCTGTTCCTCCAGCCCCATCTGCTGCTGCCAAGCTCCATACCCATTTACCTTCACAGTGATTAGCATGCAGTGCTCTTGTCAGTATTAACACTTTTAAAAACCTTGTCATTGATTAGGAACCTGATCTTTTTCAAAGACATAGAAAAAATGAAAGCGATATGCATTTATTTTAGCTGTTTTGACAAATCTAAATCTGAAAAGTGTGTCATCTACTTCTTACCATTACCCCCCTTTATTCTGCCTCTCCTATATAAAATTTTGTGCATCCCACTGACACATGATTTACACAGAAGCATATTAATGTGTTTGAATTACTCAGGCAAAGTCTTTAGTTATTTTCAACTGAGAACTTGTGCCAAATACCTCAAGAAACATACAAAAATATATATAGCTATGATTGCAGCATTGATGACAAGGAAAGCTAAAGTGTGTGCATCCAGATTAAAAGGCTGCATAGAATATTTACCAAAAAAAAGGAGACATAAATAAATTACTCACCTTATGTAAATCTGTCACTAAGCAGGGCGCTTAGGGACAGATAAACGTGTAAAAACTGAGTGTGAGTATCAATATCTAGCAACACTGAAAGTCTTAAGCCAGTGACATGGATCTAGAGTGGTTACCGCCCCCAAGACTGTGGGAGATTGTATTTTTAGACAGCTGGGCTATAGAACCTGATCTGAAAGACATAACACACACACCCAGACATAATCCAAGCATGAAAAGGATTTTTTGCTTTCTTCTTGAATGTTCAAGTCTTTTAATATGTCAAATTTCTTAAATCAGAAGGGTTATGATTTTTTTGCATAGAAACAACTCATCAGGTCCTATATTAATATTTTTTTTAATAAAAACAACATTCAACTCCAGCATCTGCTATCAGATTTGGGAGAAAGGTTCAGAAAATCTTTGTAAACAGGTTTACAAACTTAGAAATCACACAAAACAAGTTTGTCAAAAGAGAGACAGAGAAATCCAGTATAGAAGTTTTACAGAGAAACAGCCTTTTCTGTTTTACTACTGTCCCCAGCGATCTGTGTCCTCTCTGTACGTAGGCTCAGCTCCAGCTGCCTCAGCTGCTCCAGAAATCCAGAGTTGGGTCCAATGTCTCGGCACAGTCTTACAGAGAGGATGGCCTCCATTAATGTCAGGCCCTGATGGATCATCAGGTAGGCCAGAACCAAGGTGCCAGAGCGGCTCACACCCATAGCACAGTGAACAAGAACTTTCCCTGAAAGACACTTAATTTAGTGCAATCAGTAATACTAGATAATACTGTTAAGAATCACACAAAAGTATTTGTTTTGTGACTTTAAATATTAGGTTGCACATAACCCCCCGTACAAACACATCCTTAATAGGGCACTAGTAGTAACTGTGAGAGTTCAAATAAAAAGCTAAATACTAAACCATTAATATACACATTATTTGTTTTATAAATCCACATGTTAAATCTACCAAATTGCCATATAAAATTAAAATTTGACATTGTTGTAAGATTAATGCAATGTTACTCTGCCTTTCAGTATTTCAGTGCAGCTTGACAACAATGGCAGTATTTGTACAACTACAGAGCTAATCTACACTAAAGATATTTGGATTAGACTTCTTTACATTAACCTCTTAATATCCACCTCATTTTGGGATATTCTCGCCTATTTTGCATACCCAAATGGAAAAGCAAATAACTTAGGAACTGTAAGCCCAAATTACATGTGTGATACATTATTTGAAAGCACCTAGTTTCAGAATATATACATGAAAATTGGGTGAGTAAAACACCCTAGCTGCATCAAGCCCATGCCGCACCATTCAAACAAGACTCAAAGTTGTTTTTTTTATTTTCGAAAATAATAGGTCTTTTTTTAACAGCAGTTATAAAGACATGCTTGCTTGTTGTGGCTGTTTTGTCATGCTACATTTTGACATGCTGCTATATATGTGTTAATTGTGCTTTGGTGCTCGCTATGTCCATGAAATGAACTAGTTGGTTGAATTGTGGAGAATCTAAGCTTTTCAACAATCTCTAACATGTAAACAAACATTTTACCAGTGCGATTTCCATGCATTCTGAGTTATTATTTGTAAATTCTTTAAAACGGTGAGTGGGTTTTGAGAGGTTAAAGGTGAGAGATTATATTTCAAGTTTAAACCACTGTCTAAATTATCATCATCACTACAGTTGTAGCTCTATATTTAAAAAAGTAACAGTAATAATCAATGATTGTTGTTTAGTGGAATTCCAGTATTGGGCATTTCTACATATTTTGCAGTTTATTTCTTTTGGTGTGATTTCTTTTATGTGGACTCATGACTGAAATCCATAACCAGCTTTTGCTCATGCAGGGCTTCACTAACCATTTTCCTTCAGAGCGCTGTCTATGAACTGTGCTGCAGAGTTGAAAAAAGGCCGGAGATTGAACTCTGGATGGTCTGGAGCTTCAACACCATGGTACACCACTTGAATGTCGGTGTAAAACGCCTGACCGGTGTTGATGCGGTGTTGACCTGCTGCAGCATTCAGGACGTGGGTCACACCCAGAGATGATAGTCTGGCTTTATCTCGAGCTACAGACCTTAAGATACAAGTCACATAGAAAGGGTTGAACTCTATCGCCCTGATGGAAGATACTAAAGAGAAGAGCTGAACTGCTCGTGCAAAAGAAAAAAACAATTTAAAAATCTACCCTCAATTAATGGATGTGTTTGATTTGGATGTACAAGATTGCTTTTGCAAATGATAACGGGTGAAACGCCATGTTTTTTGTTTTCACTTTGTTTACTAAGTAAAAAGATCACAAAAAATGTATCTCAACAAAGTAGTTTCCTCTTTATTGAAGCGTCATGTTTAGATTAAAATTTTGTTACTTCTCCATTAAAAGATAGAAGTCCTGAGTCATGGAAATGGAGTTTGTAAGAATAATGATAAAAATGAAAAATATATATAATTAAATATTTAGAATTTAACATAAAAGTATCTCAATATGTTAAAAACTAAAGTAATAATATGACAAAAGACAACGATGAACTTAGTTAAACTTAGCATTATGTCAACATCAATTGATTAATTAATTCCTTTCATTTTAGACTCACAGCGGCGGATCTAGACGGGAGTGGGGTTCATGGGGACTAAGGACAAATGGATAATCTAAAAAAAACGGACTTAATTTTTTTTGGCTGTTAAATGAGCCACAAACCTTTTTTTTTCTGTCATTTCTATCATTAGTAAATAAAGTAAGTAAATTGTAAAGGGACTAATCAGTTACGGTCTCCTTTGTCAGCACATATTAAAATATTTTATAATAATTGTCTTTAAACTAAATAATTTAATAGTATGCACTCTTAATGAGATTATAGTTGTTTTTCTTTTCTTTTTTAAACCCTAAATCATCCTATTCTAACTGCAAATTGTTACATTTAGATTTTTGTATTTTATGTGCTAAGTACAGGGGCCAGGACTGGTTCTACAGGGACACTGGCCCCTGTTGGCTCTCCTCTAGAAAAAAAAAAGACTTTTTTGTTCACAAACATTTCAGTAAATCTCTTCACCACATTGTGGGATGATACAGAGGACTTATCTACTCACTCATCCCCAACGTAGAGTTTTGGCCACACTTCATTGATAGACCCGACAGACTTCCTGTTGGTCCAGAGAATTTCCCTCAGCTCAGTCAGAGATGGTGTTTCCCCCTGCTTGGCTGAATAACCTCTGCAGCGACACAAATGACTGTCTGCCCTGGTGTCTAATCAGGTTTGTGCTAATTTCTTGATTTGTGAAAGGTTGTGACTTTACAGTGCTTGGGCCTGTCTTTTTCTTCTCCTCTCCCTCTCTAGGCTCATGTCGAGGCAACGAAGCTGCATCAGGAAGCCAGCGTTGGGACAGATGTCTCTGTGCTGCCTTACTGCAGCCACCGCCTCCTGCAGCCGCAGATCCTCAATTATCATCAGGAAGGCCAACACTAGGGTGGCAGAGCGGCTCACTCCCATCAGGCAGTGTACGAAAACCTTTCCTAGGACACAGGTTTTATGAATTACCTTCAGCCTGTATATATATACACCACTTAAACAGCAAATACTGTGGATCTAAAAAGTATAGAAATGCCCTTCATAAATGGTTGGTTTGTCAAAATGAAATCGTGATGATCTTTACAGTTTAACTGCTTGAAAACAAAGAAATCTGTTTGAGAAATAATGTAAATAATGTAAAGTATAAAAGCATCTGGTAATAACATTGCATAATGTTGCATACCTCTAAACCAGGCATCCCCAACGTCGGTCCTCGAGGCCCGCTGTCCTGCCTGTTTTAGAGGTTTCCTTGCTCCAGCACAGCTGATTTTAATTGAAAGCTGATTAACAGGCTTTTGGTCTACTGCAATCATTATAATCAGCTGTGCTAAAGCAGGGAAACCTCTAAAACCTGCAGGACAGGGGGCCTTGAGGACCAAGGTTGGGGATGCCTGCTCTAAACTATCTTTGCTTAAGCTTAGCTTTCTAAGGTAAACTGGCATTTCAAAACCTTGAATTAAATATGTTTAGCTGTGGGTAATACCCAATAGAGACACGATTTATGTACATAATCTGCAGTTTATAAAGAATGTTACAAAAGAAAATCTGCAACACACACGTCACTGTGTGAATGTGTTTATGTATGGGTGAATGACCGGCTGTAGTGTAAAGCACTTTGCAGTCCTTAGATTTTATCAAGTGCTGTACAAGTACAAGCAATAAACCAATTTACCATGAGCATTTAAAATATTTATCCTTCATTCTTGCTCATATTTGTCAGTATTATGCTAAAAACTTTAAAAAATGAAATGATGTTAAGCTTATTGTTTTCTGTTAATCTTTCCTCTTTTCTCCTTCCGTCTCTAGTTTAAATTTCTCCTGCTCTTTTTGTTCCCTTGAAATCAGCTTCAAATTCTTCCCTTTTTCTGCTGCTCATCAGTTCTTAAATTATGAAACTACTTCTCTATGATTTACTCATATGTACTTTAAAGTTTTTGTTTTTGAGGGGTTGATCCCAACTCTTTGTTCCACATAGAACCGGAGGTGAAAAATATCTCCTTACATTTACTCACCGTAATTCAGTGCAAATTATCTGTACTTTCTTTCCTTTTTTAGCTAGTTAAACCAAAGCTGAGTTTATACTTTTACTTAACTAGGTACTTTACTCAGTTACATTTACTAACTAAAAATAACAACTAAGTAAAATGTAAACAAACAAATAAAAGAGGCAATTGCAGGGATCAATCAGTGGAGTTAATCAAATCCCAACATAGTGGGGCATCATTTAGCCTTTAGTAGAGAAAACTTATCTTGTAACTTTAGTTAAAATGGCCCATTTAATTATTACACAGTGGTTTAAACACCAACCAAACCACATAGCCCAACATATAATAATGATAAAGAGTTATGTCTTATATAAAGTACCTTTATAACAGGGGTTGTAAATAAGCACCATATAAATAAACTGGTTGTTATGTTTTAAGCTGTATTTTTTTTAGAGAACTTCTTGTTTAATTGTAAACATTTAGAGACCAGTACCACATTTTCTCTTTATGAAATACATGAGAAAAGCTTTCTTAACTTAGTAACCTTAACTCAAAGTCAAATTTTTACCATTATCTAATTAAGATTTTACATAAAGAGTTAACTGCAACTTTACAGCCGTATTTTTACTCGAGTACTTTTGTGTTCTTTCCAGCTCTATATAGCACTAATTATTGTGTAGGAGTGACTTATAACATGACAATCATTGGGGGTTTTTATTTAGGCAATACAAATAAACTTGCCTTGCCATATACTTTTGCTCAGTGAGATTATTTTTTTAATCTTTGTCAATAACATTTTAAACTAAAGCTGAGGCTAAAGAATAAAAATAAGCATTTTTGAAAAAAATCTATTTGCAAGCATTACTTTAGTGCAGTATTAGTTTCAGGATTTGCAACCATTAATTGATTTGAAGGCTGTTTGGTAAGAAACTAACACCGACAGTAGTCTGACCTTGATTCTAAAATAGTGTGTATAGGTCATAGTGTTTCCTGCAGCCTAGAATAGCACACTTTTCAAAGCATTATAAGAAAGTCAAATGGGTCAGGCTGACTTGCCTCCCATGGCCAGAGCAGCTCTGATGTATCGCGCTGTTGGATAGAAATAAGGACTGAGAATGAAATCTGTTGCATCATCAGCCTCCACCCCATAATAATCCACCGTCATATCTCTGTAGAAACGTTGGCCAGTGTTGACGTAAAAGCAGGGACTGTCGCTGGGACTTGGAGGACCATGAGCAGCATTGACAATGTGTGTAATGCCCAGACTATGGAGAGCTCCTTTGTCGCGAGCAGCCACCCTGAAACATGATCACAGGTTCACCCTCGCAGTAAAGATGTGTGACATCTCTGTACACACATGGTTATGTGTTGATGGGTGTCAACCTACTCGTTGCCTATGTAAACATTAGGCCAGACTTGATTGACATGACCAGTTGGTCGCCTGTCTGCCAGTAAGAACTCCTGTAGCTCAGAGACAGACGGAGGTTCGTATGGCGGATCCCTAAGAGACATACTGTACAGACACGCACAATCAATGCACACTATCTTAATGTAGATCCTGTACAAGTCATTGTGTTACAAACATAGATGACAAAAAAAAAACTCAAACCACGGCAGTCCAATGTGTTTCTGAAATATATCACTCAGGCTTACCTCGGTTTACAGCGGTTAAAACATTTCTCCTTCAGTGCTGGCTCCTTCTGCAGCTTTGCTCCCTTTATAACTCTGCAATCATACACTCACCTTGCAACAGCAGGACAACACAGAGTTCTCAGTCATATCGACAGCATTGTAGAGAGCTGATCTATTATTTAAGTACTGACCGCAGTATTGTATGTTCTATGAAATATTTGCTATTTCCAGCAATAAATCACTTAAGTTGTTACTATTATATCCCATTGGTTAGACATTATATCCTACATTTACACCCATCTTAGGTTTTCCTTTTTGGTTATAATTCTGTTCCCAGTGTCTCTTACCTTTTAACATCATGCAACAACTATTGTCAGTAAATTTCTGTTTGCTATTAAAGTTTTTGCTAGCATTTGGAAGCTAATTGAAGTTTTAAAATAAAAGGACAGCTACTCTTCTTTAAATATTATCAGATTAATGTAACTCCAGAAAATAGCCACATGATCAAGCCTCTTTACTTCAAACCAGCACCATCTATTAATTGCAAATGCCATTCCTGACTGCATATTTGGCTCATAAAAACAGTAAAAGTATGCACGGAAATAACCTATATCTTACCTGTCTTAGCCAGGGTGAAATCTAAAAATTTGTCTAAAGGTTATCTGAGAAGTGAAATGTATGTACTAATTTTGCAGGGAATGATCTGGAATGAAATAGATTAAGCCAAGCAGGGAGTCAACCTCAGTTTGAGCTTTTTTAAATATAAACCTCTTTAACAGCAATGTACTTGGAGCTGCAAAAACATCAAGTGATCATTTCGAAATTAAAAGCAATTCCTTTGAAAATAATTGAAACTACCTCCAGCCCAAAGATGCAAGTTTTTTTTGCTGTTCTAGATGCAAACATATTAATCAGGGGTCACCAACATGGTGCCCATGGGCACTAAGGGGCCCTCAAGGACCATATGAAGTGCCTTCAGTCTTCTGAAAATAGAACAACTTGCCAGTATGTTAAGCCTGAAATTTTATTTTATTCTGTTGCTCCTTTTCTTAATAATTTTTAGAGATTAAGAAAGGACACTGTCTAAAATAAAATATAAAAAGAAACAATAAAAAACATTTTTGTAATGTATGATGTTGAGGTGAAGGCTTATCCTTGCATTTCATGGGTGAGTATTGGAAGCCCTTCCCATGACTCAGTTGCCCTCAGCCTAAAAATAGGTTGGTGACCCCTGATATAAATGATCTAAATCTGATGTCAATGCAATTGCCCGATAGAGAATCCCTTTATTTCTGTTGGTAGCAGGTTGAGGTAAAAACAAACTTTTAAAAAATTATTTAATGCTTTCAACTCTAAGTTTTTAGATCTATTTTCTTATTGATAAGATGTGATGCTCCCGACTTTATTCAATAAACCTGTTAGAACAGCTGAAAAAAACACACACACACGAAATAATCCACAGACATCAAAATGAAATTGGCATAATTGAATTTAATTCTATTATCCATCTTCTAACAGTCTCCCACAGTTATGAGACCAGGAAGAAAAGGTCACGTAAGGCTTTTTGGTGTATCTGGACACGCATGGAAAATACGTCCATCAAATACAGAAACATTTTAAGCAGGCAAGTTTCAAAACATCATTTGGATGCAGCCTATTTTAGATAATTGAAATTTTATCGACTATTTCAATAATCAGTTTTTCAATTCAAAAACAGTGACACACAGATCACATGTCACAATCTAATGTACCGGTAGGTAGACATGATTTGAACTGATTGGCCCCATAATAACTAGTTACCCTGTGGTTGTAGACTAAATTTCCTCCACTTATTTTTTGTTTTTCCAGCAGAGATTATACCCCTTACAAAAACCTGATTAAAAAATAAGAATAAACCCATTTTTATTGTCTTTATCAGTCTCGACAGATGTCTCTCTAAGTAGATAAACAAACAGATGGTGTTCATTTTAACTGAGATAACCTCCCAGCTCCAACCTTGAACAAAAAAAAAAAAAAAAAAACACCCTCATGAGCAGCAATTTATCAAACACTGCTGCAGCCTTCAAGTTTTGCTCCATACGAACACATCTCTGGCCAGTGCTTTGAAAAACGTTTTTAAAAAAATCCAAGCTATCTGTTGTTTTTCTAGCTCAAGTCAAACAGCAGAGAAAATCCCTTAACGTATCAGAATACTGCTGACAATTAACACTAAATGGATATAAAACTAAAGTCAAGTTCATCCTCTGAAGTTGGATTATTTACAACAAAAAGAAAGTATTCTGAACTCATTGCAATTTAAATAATTAAACTAGGTGGATGCATAAATTAAAGAGTTTATCGATATCGCTTGATACATCACGCCCATGCTAACACATAGTGGTGGCACCAACATGCTATTTTCCAACGTGAAAACAAACAAAGATAATCAAAGCCCATGTTGATCTGAAAATGATCTGTTCTGTATTTTATTCAGTTTGCTAGATGCGTTTTTATTCTTTACTCACGCTGCAAACTTTAAGGGCCAATTTCTGTCAGAGCACTGCCTGATTTAAACATCACTTTACAACAAAGAAAACTAAAAAGGATTCAGTCATTTGAAGTTTGAGTTGTTTTCTGAAATTCTAATTAAGACCTAAAATTTCCCAATACTGACCGGGCTTAAATATTATTTTCAGATCTTAAATTAATGATAGAAGCTCGAAAAAATTTACCAGTTATAAAGACAGAGAGAGAGAGAAAAAAAGTAGGTTTTAGGCAGTTTTGAGCAATCTCCTTTTGAAGACGAATTGCTTCTTGGAGAAAATTAAAAACCTAGTGTTACTTTTCCAAAAAACCTGTGATGATTTTAGAGTTTAAAAAAACTACAAAAAAGGCCCATAGCTCACCTAACATGAGCTGGGTGGAAGCTCTCATGACTAATTACTGTGCTTTAAATACACAAACATAAAACATTAAAGCGGATATAACACTGATCTAGAATGGCTGCTGAAGGTTTAGGGTTTTTTTTTTTTTTATCTTCAATTGCCTGTTTTGATAGTGATGCTTTGCCCAGCGGTGGCCGTCTGTGCTTGTGCCCAGTCTCTGAAACGGACTCGAGAGATGTCAACATCAGGGCTTTGAGCAAAGGCTCAGAGGTGTCTGCACACTTAGAACCTGGAAGATGGACTACAGGAGGTTTTGCATCTTTTTTTTTGCATAACGACAACTACAATAACGTGCAACCATATATCCTTAACAGTCAGATACAAATACAAAACACCCCTCTGATCTTGGCAGGATGAACCTCTACTGACCTCTTGAGGACAAAATGGAAACAGGCAAACCATCAATAGGTACGTTAAGATATTAAGACACTTTAAAAAGAATTTACGAACAAATTAACTGACCAATTAGAACAACAAAGGAAAACTGGGGATCTGAGGTGTGGAGGCTGTGAGGGTCAAGAGGTTTTTTTTAGGCTGAAGGAGGAGCTCCTCGACGTTCCTCACTTGAAGTCTGGCTTTTCTGGGAAGGTACAACCTGCTCGTCTGATGATGACATTTGCAGAGTAATGTGCTGCCCTAACGCACTGATCCAGGGGTTTGTCCTGGACGAGCCCAGAAAGGAATCCTGCACCACGCGAAGAGAACTCCGTTACTATGACAACAGAGGCAAAAAGAGATGCACAAAGTAAAAAGTTTTTACCTCCAACAAAAGCGTCGCCTGCACCGTTTGTGTCAACGATGTCCTTCGGGTCAATCTTCAGGACAGGGAATGTTTCGATCTTATCGCCTGAGCAGACAGAAAAGTTTAGACTGAATACCTGAAAGTAGAGATTAGATTTGAAACCAAGACATGAACAGAGGGGATATCCTACCCAGGACCATGATGGTTTCATCCTTTCCCTGGGTAAACACAACAATTCTCTGTCTCTTTGTGTTGACTTTGGGTAATGCCTGGGCTTTCTTCGCAATCTCCTTTATGTCTTTAGTCTACAAAGAAGTTAAAGAAAACAGCATTTTTACAGAACCTGTTAAAGGATGCATGACATATAAGGAAAATGGAGCACTGTTCAGAAGAACGTCTACTAACCTCAAAGTCCTGCTCTTTGGCAAAAGCAGTTGCCTCCTGAAAAGGAAAATATATTGGAAAAATAATCGACACGGGTTCCCATCCATTACAATAGATGAATACCGGGGGGTGTTCTGCATCCTACCGTCTCGTTGCCAAACAACACGTCGATGTAAGGCATGACCTGCATCAGGTTGTCCTTGAAAAACTGGCAGATAAAGGGAGCAGAGAGGTTCATGCAAAACAACTTGTTCTTTTCAGAAGCATGCTTCGCCACTTTCAGGATGGACTCCAACGACACAGTCAGGAAGAAACCCTGGGAAGCACAGCATCATTAATATAAACCTGGCATCCAGAGAAAATAAGGAATCACTTACAGGAAATCAAAAATATCCCTAATTTAGCCATTTAACAAGATGTTCTTGTTAATAACTTAATATTTTTTCCTTGTCCTCCTCTCCTGATGATACGATTGTTTAGATTAGGCCACTAAAGTTAACACCACTAAACTGTAAAAGGATTCATTATTGAAAAGAGAAGCAGAACATATTGCAACTGCATTTTTTATCTATCCATCTATCCTCCACCTGTTTAACTTCAACATCTTAGGCCAATTTTACTATTAAATCTGCTCAGGATTGTGGATCATTAAACTATTTTATGTTAAAATGGAACAGAAGCTCTTCAGTTCCTACATGAGCGTTTTGGTTTATCAACGCTCACATTTTACTGACCTTAGTCAATAAAGACTTGTTAATTATTACTAGGAATGCAAAATGTAATAGCATTAAAGTGCCTGTGACGTGCTTTGCTTTTAAAGTACCGTAAAAAAAAAGGAAGAAAAGCATTTCATTATTAAAAGGTTTTGCATGATTTTTTAAATTTCATTGTGACTTAAGGCTTAATTAAAGACAACTGTGACCCAAATAGGCACATTTCTTTATAATATGTGATGCTTCAACATTGTCCTGAAGCGATCTTTGAACCATTAATTGTTGGAATGTTGGATTTAACATTTCAGGTAGACGACAGGTTAAGGAAAAACAAAACAAAAACAAAAACGTTTTAATACAGTAAAATGAAGCCTTCCTGCGTGGTTACAGGAATACTGAGAAACCAGGCATCAGTCTGCACCCATTTTCTGGAGTGAAAATGTTTTTTTTCTTGGTCATGTGACAATGATTATGATGCTGCTCAGGATTGTGGGTGTTTAACTAAAACAGGAAAGCAGTGTGAGCAGTCTGGTTTGTATCTTATGGCATCTCACAAGCTAGAGAAACAACATAAAGGCAAATATTGGTAATTGGCCATAACGGCAAAATTAATATCTAGTATTAATAGTGGCCTAGATTTTCATATTGGTGAATCCCTATTATTCACAAAGTCTGGTTTTAGTTCCATTTCAGAGCTTAATTGTCTTGGAGACGTGATAAATGTTGTTTAATCGTCTACAGATATCCCAGTTTAAGCTTTGCTCCATTAGTTTCTGTCTGGGAGTCAGGATAAGAAGGAATTTATTTAAAACCTGTGCTACCTATAGCATGGATTGGGAAAAGGTCACTAAAAGCTGTGTTAAACTTTACTGTTTTAAATTCATTCTGGTCTCTGCTGTTGCTGCAGGCAGAAATCTGCATCCTCAGACTGAGGCAGCAGCAGTCTTACAAGAGAAGGAGCCATTCAGAGTTGACAGGCTTGATCTTGACAATGGCCTGGCTTCCAGAATCCAACCAAAATGTTCTCAGTGAATAAAAAGCTTACAGAAGGTAATGTTTCAAATAAAAGGTATTTAAGGAAGTTGCAGTGGAAGTGTGCCTTTATTCTGCTCCACTTAACTCACCTCTCTTAGCAAAGTGTGACCTAATTACTAAGCTCTGAAAAAAAAACCCCACTGTAGGTCACCAGAGACTTAAGGCTGAACTACTCACAGCTATATAGTAGACTTTAGCTTTTTCCACCAGCTTCCAGTTTTCTTCCAAGTCTAAATGCTTCTCCTTTTTATAACAGTTAGCAGCAGCTAGGTTAGCAACCAGAGACCTGAGAGATGAAAACAACATAATTAGACGTTTAATATGACCCCACTTTATGACTCTCCCGCCAAACCCCCACCTGTTATCCCCAGTGATGCAGGCAGCACACGTCCCTGTGGGCTCCTCATCTTGCTCATAGTAATGAGCGTCCACGTGGGCCTCCTCCGCCTTCTTTTTGAGGATCTCTCCAAACTTATCTTTCCCAATGCAGCCGAAGAAGGTGCCCACCTTATGAGGTTCCTGGATCATCCACTGGGGGATCATCCAAACAGCTTAGATTTACACTGGCCAATAAAATCTTCGCACAGAAAGTAGTGTTCGTGAGTAGGTCCTACCTGAGCGATCTTTACTGAGTTCTGGGTGGCTCCTCCAGCGTGGTACTCTACATTGAACTTCTTTGTAAGCTCATCAAATCTACAGAGAAGAAAATATGAATTTATCCACTGATTATTAAACATTATCATATCTAAATATCCCTATTTTTCCTTCCATTTTTAGGTCTCTAAAGCAGAGGTCTTCAACAGGGGTTCCACGACCCCTAGGGGGTCCACGGAGGTACTGCATGGGGGGTCACGAAAGTTTCGGTTGATTAGACTTTTTCTTTTTTATATTCCCCCCTGCAATTTTTTCCACTAATTAAAATGTATTAAAATACACATTAACGTGAATTCAACACACTGTAATAAACAGATAAATGGAGGCAGAAGATGCTTTTCAGGCATCAATGCACACTTTCAGCGACACACACACAGGAGCTATTTCAAGCTGGGCACCGTTTCATTCACAACACCTGTCCCATTAACCAGGAATCAAAATCAGATATACTTTAATCAGACTTTTTAACATCTGTGCCAGCTTCAGGAAGCAAAGGGACTCAGAACTAGGGTGGCCATTTCTATAGCACCAAAAAGGAGGACATTGTGCGGCATATCAATAAATTACTAAGGTGTACATAAGAATCGGGTAAAGTCACATTTATAGCACAATTCTTAGTAGTTTAAAGAGGATGCTTGAGTAGCTGAATAGAACAAAATATTAAAGAAATGTAAAAAAGAATTGGTTCCCAGCATTTGTATTTATTTAATACATTGTGGTGTTTAAAAAGTGACCATTTTTTAACACGATTAATTTGCGCAGAACTGCTGCAATTGATCATAAAGCAGTTGTTTGGAAAAGAAGCTCGAGAAAGAGCTAGAGAATAGGACGATGCAAACTGCAAAAAGTGGCTGGAAAAGAGGAATTCATGACATGGCTGCAGCCTGTCGAGAGTAAAGATGATTTCACCATGTTCTCTATCCATATCTATATATATATATATATATATATAAACTTGAGTCATGGAACTGTGCTTACAGCTCCTTATTTCATGTAAACTAATAACTTGTGTACATGATACTTGTTGATGGCATTAAAATTATTTCTAATAGCATTAAATTAGAGTTCCTCATTCCTGTATAAAACCTGTGAACTCTTAATTTAATCTGACATATTAAAAAAATCCCCATCATCATCCAGCAGATGTTCAGTTTCTGCCCAAATATTTTCTTTCTGTTGTGGATTTTTGTAACAGGGATAACTAGGATCATACATAGTTTGTATGAACTCTGTTTATTCTCTGCTTCCAAACTCATCATCTCTTCATCCATTCCTGCAATAAGAATTTTCTTTTAAAGTTGTGAGATTCACTCTAGAATCTCACAACTTCTTCCTGGTCAGTTGAAGCACCAATACAGGTGCTGGTCATAAACTTAGAATATCATGAAAAAGTAGATTGATTTCAGTAATTCCATTTAAAAAGTGAAACTTGTATATTATATTCATACATTACATACAAACTCATATATTTCAGATGTTTATTTTGTTTAATTTTGATGATTACAAATGACAACAAATGAAAATCTCAAATTCATCATATCAGAAAATTAGAATATTGTGAAAAGGTTCAAAATTGATGGCCCCTGGTGCCACACTCTAATCAGCTAATTAACTCAAACCACCTGCAAAAGCCTTTAAATGGTCTTTCAGTCTAGTTCTATAGGCTACACAATCATGGGGAAGACTGCTGACTTGACAGTTGTCCAAAAGACGACCATCGACACCTTGCACAAGGAGGGCAAGACACAAAAGGTCATCGCTAAAGAGGCTGGCTGTTCACAGAGCTCAGTGTCCAAGCACATTAATAGAGAGGCGAAGGGAAGGAAAAGATGTGGTCGAAAAAAGTGTACAAGCAAGAGAGATAACCGCACCCTGGAGAGGATTGTGAAACAAAACCCATTCAAAAATGTGGGGGAGATTCACAAAGAGTGGACTGCAGCTGGAGTGAGTGCTTCAAGAACCACCACACACAGACGTATGAAAGACATGGGTTTCTGCTGTCGCATTCCTTGTGTCAAGCCACTCTTGAACCACAGACAGCATCAGAAGCGTCTTGCCTGGGCTAAAGAGAAACAGGACTGGACTGCTGGTGAGTGGTCCAAAGTCATGTTCTCTGATGAAAGTAAATTTTGCATTTCCTTTGGAAATCAAGGTCCCAGAGTCCGGAGGAAAAGAAGAGAGGCACTTCATCCACGTTGCTTGAAGTCCAGTGTAAAGTTTCCACAGTCAGTGATGGTTTGGGGTGCCATGTCATCTGCTGGTGTTGGTCCATTGTGTTTTCTGAGGTCCAGGGTCAACGCAGCCACATACCAGGAAGTTTTAGAGCACTTCATGCTTCCTGCAGCTGACCAACTTTTTGGTGAAGCAGATTTCATTTTCCAACAGGACTTGGCACCTGCACACAGTGCCAAAGCTACCAGTACCTGGTTGAAGGACCATGGTATCCCTGTTCTTAATTGGCCAGCAAACTCTCCTGACCTTAACCCCATAGAAAATCTATGGGGTATTGTGAAGAAGAAGATGCAATACACCAGACCCAACAATTCAGAAGAGCTAAAAGCCACTATTAGAGCAACCTGGGCTATCATAACACCTGAGCAGTGCCACAGACTGATCGACTCCATGCCACGCCGCATTGCTGCAGTAATACAGGCCAAAGGAGGCCCAACTAAATACTGAGTGCTGTACATGCTCATACTTTTCATGTTCATACTTTTCAGTTGGCCAACATTTCTATAAATCCTTTGTTTTTATTGGTCTTAAGTAATATTCTAATTTTCTGATATGATGAATTTGGGATTTTCATTTGTTGTCATTTGTAATCATCAAAATTAAACAAAATAAACATCTGAAATATATGAGTTTGTATGTAATGTATGAATATAATATACAAGTTTCACTTTTTAAATGGAATTACTGAAATCAATCTACTTTTTCATGATATTCTAATTTTATGACCAGCACCTGTAGTCTGCATCCAATTATTTAATTAACTGCTCTTAGTTTTTGGGAATATATACAAACTATGCTCTAATTTCTACATACCGATCTGTTTTTACTATAATTTAATTTGACAAACCGGGTCTTCTCTACATTCTTTTTTCTGTTTGGTGCGATTGCAATAGCGGGTCTTGATCTGGACGGACCGGAGGGGAGCAAAAAATAGCTCAGCTCCGTATTTTGACGGTGAAGGACGGAGAAGACGTACGTGGGCGGTGACGAGCGGAGGATGTGGAACAGCTCTCATTGATTTACATGACAGACAAGTACTCCGTACGCGAGCGGGGCGGAGCGCTGACGGAGTATGTGGAATCTGGGGGTAAAGGAGGACAAATACACGACCGGCTGGGTGCAGCGCCGGACGCCGGACAGTGCAATGAAAATCCGGACTGTCCGCCCTAAAGCCGGACATCTGGCCACCCTACTCAGAACCCATGAAGAGGTGGCGCTTTCCATCTGGGCAGGCAAGTTAAATGTCTGCCAATGCTTAACTAAGGTTTTGCTCATTCTAAATATATTTGCTGAATTAATAAATCTTTACATGAAAGTTGAGATTTAACAATAGATGACACTTCTGTTTATCTGCCCATCTGTACGGTCATATAGTTAAGCCAGGAAGTAGGGATGGGCATTTATCGTATTGTTTATCGATATAAACTTCTAGTCAAGATAAGAATTCAATTTATTTATATTAATGATAAAACAGAATTAATGTTTTAAAAATACCAAAACATTGGTGAATTGTAGCATTGTTTGACATCTCTCTTTTTTTCCATTGATAAATTCATAGAAAATGATTAAATGTGATTATTGTTTGGATGTTATAATAGAAATCATACTTCTTTCTGTAACTGATCTGCTTAACATGCCTATGCTAGACTTGTTTAAATTCTTAAAGGGTGGTACTTGTGAAAATAGGCTGATGTGGCATGCAGTCTTCACCACACAATGACCTAAGAAAGACTGCAAAGTAGTAAGGAAGAACATTTTATCACTATCAATCAACCACAAAATATCATATTTTAAGTCCATATAGCCCAGCCCTACCTATAAGTATTCAAACCCATTACAGATTAAATAACTTCTGATTGGAAGTTAATATAAACTTTTTATCATCTAGACCTGAATCTGATAAATACCCAAACCCTCCACAGAAATAATGCAAAATGTAATCTCTAAAGTGTGCTACAGTTTTTAAACTATTTTCTGAGAAGGGTACACATAATTTTCAGCATAACATTTCTTGGTGAAATGTAATTGAAAAAAACCCTTTTCATAACTCATCCTACATTGTTGCAAACAAACCTGATTCTGCCAAAGGAAAGTGTTGACAAAAAGGGAATAAAATTCACTATCATTTGAATAACAGATGACTTAAAACAAAACAGCGTTAATTTGCAGCTGCCTGTCGACTGTAATGGTAGGAAGGAAAACATGGATCTGTCCAGCTGCGTTTGTTCCAGATCAAAGTCAAATATGGCTCTTGCTTTATAATTCCTGATTCATGAAGATCAAAACAATAATTGCATGTTCTCCTGTCTTAACCATTTTAAAGACTGGCTCAGAAATATTTGCCCCATAAATAAAGAAACCTCTTGAGGACAAAACACTGATCATTTATTCTATAGGAACTGTTGAGGGTCAGACTGAATAAGGCATTATGGATTTTGTTAAAAATAACTACTTATTACCATGTAAATAATTCATGTTGCATCTTTTTTATGAAGCCTTTCCTGTGTCACACTGCAGTGTTCCTGCTAGCAGCTGCAACAGAGAGCCAGTAACACTGTAACATGACATCTCTGCAGAAAGCAGCCTCATATTTTCCCCAAAATACACAACACATGCATGACTGAATGCTGATTATACAAGCCAAGCCATTTGTGTCTGTTACGTAATGCTTTCTTACTTCCCCTTCTGGGCTGAAGTCCTTTTAATGAACCATATGTTTCAGTCTAATGCACCGACAGAAGAACCGCTGCTTTTAGTGTGCGCTTTCAGATATATTATTAGGAACAGCAACAACCCCACTGCTAAAGGTCCTGAGAGGAAGTGAGGAGGGTCAGAGAAGGAAAGCGGAAAGAAAACATTTAGCAGTCTGTAGCAAAACAAATGTATCACTGTGATGTAGCTATAAGTGATCATTATGATCAAACCCTACATGCTAAACAAGCTCATTTCTAACTGCAGGCTAAGACAGCCTCTTCTTTACAAATACTTAATAGAGTATCCTAAAAAAAGAAATCTAATACGTTTATCGGCAGATTCTGATATTTCTTTATTCTTATAACTAAGAAAGAAGATGGAGGCCCAGTCCGGATCAGAATGAACAAAATGTCACATTCTGCTCGCTTATCTCCTGCTGTTATATGTTTGCTTTCCGACTCTGGTCTCAGCGGGACTGGGGAGGTGAAGTGTCCCCGTCTGTTATTGGACAAGACCCACTCACTCTGTGCAGTTTGCTGCGCTGCCATTGGCCGTCTGCACAGGAACAGAGGTCAATGGCAGCAGCTTTCTTGTGCGTGCCTGTTTAGGCTGGACCTCTCCAGAACGAGGAGGCGCAAACTCAGGATGAATTTGGACACATTTTTTTCTTCTTTCCCTCAATTACCATGCAAAAACACTAAAACCTTGACAGAAGTTCACTTGTGTGATGGCGCTATCATAAACACATATTCTACATAATTTAAAACACAGGAGGTACGAACAGTGCTTTGTGCTTGTCCTCAGCCAGGATCTGATCGTTGGGCTTCAGAGAGTACCTGGAAATGATTAAAAAGAGGATGTCAGGGACAGTAGGCAACAAAAAAGACATTTAACAATCAAGAGTATTCATGCAATAAAGTAGATGAATCTAAGAGAAACTTCTGTGCACATTATTACACCTGTTTCAAAATCAATGTGCTAATTTGAGAGCAATTTCCTTGAAAGAAAGACTAAGATTTGCTGAGGATTAAAGGCAGTTAAGTCCTTCTTTAGAGAGGCCGAATTAGAGCCGAAGCTGGCCGGTTCATTCCTAATCCAAGAGTTTACACAAGGGGCTTCTGAGTGGACACTCAGGTGGAAAACCAAGTTAGCCTTTTGGCCAGTTAAATCCGGTCGACTCGAGATGGAGAGCTCTCAGGGGAAGCAGGGAACATCTCCTCAAGGCAGACTGATGTTCTGGGAAGTAGTAGCTTTCAAGATTCAAGATAAAGAAGAAATGTCTGGATTTCTGCAGGACTGATAAGAGTAATTGAATATAAAGGGGATACTATACAAAAAGGAACACGAGACACACGGCTCATTTATTTTTAGCATGCTTTAAAGCAATTAATCAGCTGTTTTTTTTCTTCTTTGCTTTATTGGCTTCCTGCCTTATTGATCACAAGTGTCAATGTATCTCTTCCCTCCATAATCTCCCTCTGACCTTATCGACAGCAATAGATCTGGTTCTGCTGCTTGCATACTTTTCTTGTAAAGTCTAATCAGAATATATGCAGCAAAAAAACAGAACTTTAAAGCAGTAATCTATGTTACAGATGAAAAAAGTGTCAACTTACTTATCCAAGAAGTCTTTGTCCACAACAGCAGAGATGTCCAGTAAGGGGTTTCCCATCCCAAACAGTAAATTAGGTCTGTAAGGTAAGCGGAATGTTAGAAACCATTACTCACCTATCAGTGAATCGACTAAAGCTTCTCAGACAGAGCCTTTCTGAGCCAAAAGCGTCATAAATAGGTTACTAAATCTAAAAAGAATACATGTAGGAGCTTAATCTCTAAGCCTACTACATATATTTCTTGAAATGTTTGGCTAAAATATAAAAATGTGAATTTTCATCATTATTCTTTATTACATGCATATAACTATTAGAATCAGCATACTTATTTCAATCTTTCATCCTTTTCCCTCATAAATGATTATTTAAACAACTTTAAAAAGAACATACGCTATTATTTATTATATCAGTACAATTATATATTTTTAACTCTAATAGAAACTTTGAACATTAAAAAAAACGTTTCTAATGTGATTTTTATTACTTGCATATAATAATATATGTAAAAATGTATGTATTATTACTAATTAACATATAATATAATCATATAAATTGACAAAGCTCAGCAAAAAACAGACAAAAACATTTTTCTATGCTATAAACTAGGGCTATGTTTGCTGTATGACTTGTGGAAACTGTTCCCTCACAGGAGAAAAAAAGCAGAAATGACACAAATAAAGCAGATGTTTATACAGATGTAGCATTCGTGAAAAAAAAGATGTATGAGGCTTGTGGTGGGGATTGGGGCAATCACGCATGCTCTCACATTAGGTCCCTCGCAGCGCCAGGATAAAACTGCATGTTTCTGCATTTTTTCCATGAGAACAAAACTAACCGCAGGACTTCAGACCATCATGATTTTGTGATGCCAACAGAACAAAAATCAGCTAAAACTGCACGTCTGCACTTTGTGTCACCTAATAACACAACCATCTAAAACCCTGTCTGACAATTAGGTAACCTATTACAGAGAGAAAGGTTACGGTTCAACCTTTTCTCTCAGAGGAAAATTATAACTCACAACCAAAAAAAACAAACTGTATTATTATGAGTAAGCACCCCAAGGGGAATCAGGATATGAGTAATAGAAAAAGTCCACTCATTTCATCCCTGAAACCGCCTCTATAAACTTGTCTGTTTGTGGGAAGGCTGCAGGTGGAGTGTGTCTCTGACAGATAACCATGTGCTGTCATGTCCCCCCACTAAAGAAGCCTCTTATGAACATTTGCTTTTCGGAAAACAAATACCTCTCATTGAAGGCAGGAAGAAAGATACATACATTTGAAAACCACATCTATCCACAGGACACCACACCCTTACTATCATCTCCCTCAACACAGTATGCAGTCAGATGATTAATGGGCTTGTGCAGCCAATTACACTAACCTAGAGCCCATGCATGCCTGCAGATCTGCTCTGCTGGTTGGACATCCATCTGTGTGCTCTTACCTGACAGCAGACATGATGTTCTTCTCTCTCTGTGTGCCTCAACAAGAAACTGACAGACCTGTTGAGCAACCTTAAAACCTGCTCCTGAAACGGCTAAGCTTTGGGTTTAAAAAAAACAAAACAAACAATTTGAGCTCAGCGTGTAGAGCGATCGATTTCTTTTCCATGCATCTGCAGCTCCTCCTCCTGACTGACTGATTGGAGGCATGTGAAGAAGGACCTGCCTCTGTCTGATGATTGGCTTGTTTCTCAGACCTCTGCTTTATCTAAACGCAAGCTTCATTTCACCGCGTGCAGATGATCGGGTGTTTTTCAGTTTAAAGCTCTGGTCAGATTTATATATATATATATATATATATATATATATATATATATATATATATATAAAATGATTAGATAGGCCTCTGAAGACCACGTGACTGCCTAATGGTCCTTTGTTGTTTTCGGAGCCTGGCGCAGGATGGATCCAGCTCTTGCATGGACAGCAGAACCGATCCAAGCATTCATTTCTGCAGCTTCCAAAGCATGTTAATTAAACATTGTCCCAACTAACACATGCCTCCATGTTTCCGCTATGGGTCGACTAAAGGTTACATCTATTAAATAGTTACAAAAAATACACTTTGCACCAGGATTGTTTTAGTTAAAACACAACCACAGTTAAAAGACAAAAAACAAACTTTGATGCGTAATCTCGTAAAACAATTAACACGTTTGATTTGGCGCACAAATCACAACCAGACGCTATTTTTGTCTTTTTGCTCCACACAGAAGCACAGTTACAGGATAATATTGTCACCTTAGTTCGGGGGAAGCCTTTTTGCTCGGGGACTGAGTCTTCTCATCCTCAGAAAGTTTAAGTTTCTTTGCTTTGGGTTCGTCAGAAGCCATGGCTGTCCGCACTGACTGAGCACGCTGCAATCACCTTACGAAAAGCGGTCACGCTGTCAGTGATAAACCCTGAGTACAGACTCGCAGGTATGATTTGTTCACATTTAAATGTAGAATAGTTTAGATAAAATCGAGGGAAAAAAATACATTATGATGTTTATGTGTTTTTGTCATCCTTTTGCCATATGCACAATCATTTTAAACAGTCACTCCAACTGCTGATAAAATATTTTTTGTTTAATTAAATGTATTTATTAATAATGTAATGCATTTAATTATATCAATTTATTGTTTTTAGAGAGCTTGTTTGAACATGTGCGCTTTCTTTGTTTTCTGTTCACTGAAAAGTAAAATGAAAATTTGTTTAAAAATCTAATCTGAAACACAAGCTTAAATTTTATGAATGTTATGTTGAGATTATATTATTATATATTATGTTAGCAGTCGTTTACATTTTTTTTTTTTTATTTCTGTGTCCTACTCCACCATAACAACCTGTATAACAATTTAAATGAAATGTTTACACTACCATTTGACTAGTTCTTTGGCCAACAAATTCAGGATTGATGTGAACTATTAAAAAACTATATAAACACAGAAGATTATTTATTGCTCAACAAGCTGTGAAAATCAACTTTGAAAAGATTTCCACATTTAATGGTTTTAGTTTTGCCTTTTTCCTTTCATCATTATCAATAACAATACATAAAAGGAAATAACTATTATAGTCCTAATACATAGTATTTATGAGCGTTAAAAGCAGAAAGCTTCCTAAATAAAATAAAAAAAGGTTAAAATAATTGTACTGTACTAAATCAATAAAATTTAATCCAGAAAATTTTCACAAAAAGAAAACAAGTCAAATACCTGCTGGGAGTACGAGGAGCACCTGCAAGAATTTACATAGGGTTTAATCTCCCATTAAGTAAAGGCACCACACCGGGTTTTAGCTGTCCACAAATGTCGCCTGCATAAAAAGGGGAGGTTTTTATTTTTAAGTTAGTCATTCTAAAAAAAACAAAGATTTTTTTCGAAGCTGTAAAAATATAGATATTTTATTAAGCTTTTCATTGAAATTACAAAGCTTTATTTTTTTTACTTTGGAAAGCGTTTACACGTGACCGAGTCGTGTTTACGTAGGCAAATAGCTGCAGGCGTCTCCATCAAATCTTGTCAGCACAATCAGCTGCAGTTAGCAGGTAAACTTTTTATATTGTGACAAACTTTCCATTTAATGTAGTTTCTGCGCAGTTTCTAGTTGATTATTACGCAATTACGTTTCTTGTTATTTATGTTTATAAGTAAATTAGGTATATATGTGCGAAGTTTGAGCCGTCAGGCTGCCAATCAGACCGTGAAGTCAACTGATGGGGAAAAGTTAGTTACAGTTTTGCAGGAAGTAAATGTTTCAAACAACTTGGAGTAATATCGCTTTTGTTTACTGATTAGTGTCAGCTGCTTTAGAATATGAAAGAAGTTATACGCATAAAACTGGTGATGTTTTGTCGTCTTTTTTTTTCTAGCACACCAACAACAATCACCTCATCATCGTTAAAGCTGAGATGATCCACAGCCTCTTTCTGGTCAGCCACTCCGGAGACATCTTCCTGGAGAAACACTGGAAGAGTGTCATCAGCAGGAGTGTGTGTGACTATTTTCTCGAGGCCAAGGAGAAAGCAGGCGACCCAGAAAATGTGTCCCCTGTCCTTCGGACCCCACACCACTATATCATCTCAATCTACAGGGACAAACTCTTCTTCGTCTCAGTCACTCTGACTGAAGTCCCCCCTCTCTTTGTCATTGAGTTCCTGCACAGGGTGGCTGATACTTTTCAGGTGGGAATTTCAATGCTCTGTTTGAATGTTTGGTTCTAGTATATAAGGTTGAAGCTATTTGTCATTAGATATGGACCAGTTATTACTTGTTATTACCTCCCTGGGCTGCCACCTTATCATGGTGGAGGGGTTTGAATGTCCCAATGACTTAGGAGCTATGCTGTCCGGGGGGGGTTATTATGCCCCCTGGTAGGGTCACCCAAAGCAGACAGGTCCTAGGGGAGGGACCAGACAAAGAGCAGCCCAAAGACCTCTTATGATGACCTCCCATGGAGTCCGGCCGGGCACAACCCGAAGAGGAAACATGGGTCCCCCTTCCAATGGGCTCACCACCTGTAGGAGGGGCCCAAGGGGTCGGGTGTGATGGGTGGCAGTCGAGGGCGGGGACCTCGGCGTTCTGATCCTTGGCTGAAGAAGCTGGCTCTTGGAGTTATTACCTCCTGGACGTCTCCCTGGTGAGGTGTTCCAGGCACATCCCACCGGGAGGAGGCCCAGAGGGAGACCCAGGACACGCTGGAGGGACTATGTTTCTCGGTTGGCCTGGGAGCGTTTTGGGATTCCCCCGGAGGAGCTGGCCCAAGTGGCTGGGAAGAGGGACGTCTGGGCCTCCCTACTGAAGCTGCTACCCCCGCGAACCGACCCCGGATAAGCGGAAGAAGATGGATGGATAGATAAAAATTATTACTTAGTTTTCAGGTATAAAAAGGTTATTACACGTTTTACAATTTAAAATCAGTTTAACAAGAAGCCTGAAGAGTACTAGAAATAATGCCATCTTTTTGAAGGAACTTTCCAAAATAGAAACTGGTAAAGAAAAATTAAAGTGGTTTATAACTTTAAACTGACTCTTGCCTTTAAACTGACTCAGCACTGCATTTTCCTAAATGTTGAGGGGAGATTCAGGCTGGTGTTTGGAGACAAAAACTAATTTAAAACCATGTGCATGTGGGTTTATGTACAATGCATAAAGTAGTTATGTTGTGCCCTCTCCTTTTCAGTGAAGCATTGTTTAGGTTTGGAATTTTTTGCAAACTGAATCTTCCTGCTCTTCGCCAGTGTTATGTGATTCGTTGTTTTTTTTTCCTCGCAGTGGGAGATTGATCCAACAATAATGCTAAAGTTTATCCAGCAGGAGCAGGTTTATGGTTGGTCATATAAACTATAAACTGATTTTATTTCTTTATATAAAAAGAAAAACACTACCCCTAACCTAGCATCAGTAAATGGAATCCTCTCAAGCAGGACTGTATATATTTATTAATTATTGAAGTATTTAGAATTGAAAAGTAAGATTAATGTATCATATAGACTTATTACACAGAGTGGCACAATGTTTTGTCCATTTTTGAACATTATGGCTTAGAGCTTATGAAAAATGAACTGCAGCTACTTTCACAGGTGGAGAATTTGAGAAGAACATGGAAAAACAAAGCACCCAAGATATCCATAATAAACCCCTTAAAAAACAATTATAGATAATTGATGGAATATTGTTAGATAAAGTAATTGTAACTAGGGCTGGAAATTTAATTGCATTTACAACATAATCGCAATTTTAAAAACTTACACGGAAGCATGGATTTTTGATCACTCTGTGTTTAACACAAAATTATTCCCTTCAGACCTTTAGGTGGTGATTAAAAGCTTGAAGTGTGTTTGTCGCCACACAGAAAGGTAGAGAGATTTGCAGCTAGCACGCAGATCCATGCATGGAAGTAGAAGTAGTCAATTTGTCAAACAATGGTTACAGTAAAGTCCTGCAACAATGGATTCTGGGCAAGCAAGCTTTCAAAAACCGAAAGCCCAGGATGAAGCATCTACATGCTTGGGGTACTGTAGGTGCAAAGAAAAATCTAAAAAAAAAATCACAATCGCAAATTTGGTTAAAAATGATCGCAATTTAGATTTTTGGCAAAATCGTCTAGCTCTAATTGTAAAAATAGTTTTTGTTTTTTAAGAACTTGTTTTTATGTTGTTGTTTTTTTTATTCTTAATCTAACATAGTGCCAATCAGAGTCTAATATTCTGTTTTGTAAGTAAGGAATAGTGCATGTTGACCCCTGGTACATAGAATGCTGTTCTCACCTCAGACATATTTCTCTTTATCAACAGGATTACTTTGGAGAATGCTCGGAGAGTGTTATCAAAGATAACACAGTGACCGTTTACGAGCTACTGGAGGAGATGCTGGACAACGGGTTTCCTTTGGCAACTGAGTCCAATGTCCTCAAGGAGATGATAAGGCCTCCGAACATCTTGCGGTCGGTTGTCAATACACTCACAGGTAAGCAGAGGTCAGCTGACGCTGCAAAAGCTGGAGTGTTACTATAATAGTAGTTCCTAATGGGGCTCTCTACGTGTTTGTGTTTCAGGGGGTAGTAATGTAGGGGGAACATTGCCTACAGGCCAGTTGTCTAATGTCCCCTGGAGGAGAGCTGGTGTGAAATACACCAATAATGAGGCTTATTTTGATGTGATAGAAGAAATCGACGCCATTTTGGACAAATCAGGTAATTTTTAGGTGTATCTGATTATTATAAAAGAATGGAGTATTTTTCTTGGAAGTTTTTAATTAATTTCAGGTTATAACTAGAATTGTGTCTCCTCTAGGTACGACTGTGTTTGCAGAGATTCAGGGTGTGATTGAGGCCTGTGTGAAGCTCACTGGGATGCCTGATCTCACCCTGTCCTTCATGGTAGGTCTGTTTTCTTTCAGCATAAACTAGTAATACATTTTAGAGCCAAAGCTCATCATTTACACCCATTTTTTAAATTTAATCTTTTAGAATCCTCGTCTCCTTGACGACATGAGTTTCCACCCATGTGTGCGTTTCAAGCGCTGGGAATCGGAGCGCGTCTTGTCTTTCATCCCACCAGATGGAAACTTCAGGCTGATGTCGTATCATGTCAGCTCTCAGAAGTAAGCGCAGATATTGTCGAACTGTTTTTAAAAAATAATCAATATTTTTGTTTCCTGTTTTTTTTTTTTTTTTAATTCTTTTTAAATCAAATATTTATATGTGATTCACTATCACAATAGAGTACAAAAACATGAAATGGCAACAAATGATTTGTGTGAAATTCTGCCAAGTGTGACATATTCTGCCCTCCTAGTAAATACTTAGTGGAACGTTTGATTGAATTAAAACTTCCAACCATTTTAGGTGTGTCTTTATCAGTTTTGTAGTTTTTGAATTTTTATTGGTTAAAAACAAAACAAAAAAAATGTTGCTACCTTTTCGTTGACCTATCATAATAAGTTTGTGGTTGCTACCTGATTAAATACCAAATTAATATTTCTCAAAGCTCTGTGTGGGTTGATGTTTAATTTTTCTTAAAATAAGTAATCAGATACTTTTTTCCCCCTGACAAAATGATCAGGTCTTTTATTTTATACAAATGTTTTTGGTGCTGAGTAAAGACGTTTATTCTATAAATCCACAAGAGAGCCGGGTCGTATTTTTGCAGTGGATAAATCCGAGTCCATGCCTGTCACTGACTGATATCAACTTTCTTTCCTTTCTCAGTCTTGTAGCCATCCCAGTGTATGTGAAGCAGAACATCAGCTTCTTAGAAACAGGTTCCTGTGGTCGTCTGGACATCACAATTGGTCCCAAGCAGACAATGGGGAAGATGGTGGAGAGCTTGATGGTCACTATTCCAATGCCTAAATCTGTGCTCAGTGTCAATCTCACTGCTACTCAGGGAACCTACAGCTTTGACGTAACCACCAAGGTAATTTTCCAACAAGATGGCACTCCTAACCTGCAAATAGGTTTGCTTAAAAACCAACTTAATAGATTATATAATTTATTGCTGTAGCACAATTTTAATCAGGTACTTTAGACAAATCAGATCGTTGAGTACAGTTATAAAGAAATTGCTTAGCTTTTTAAGGCTATTGGTTTGCTACATAAAATGGTCTAATATCACACATGGTGGCAATGCTAACAATCCATGAGAAATGATGCAGCTGATATGTGGTGGAGGATTTTCCCAGATTTTTGAAAAGACCCGCCCTCTCCACTTAAAAAAAAAAAAGCACATCTGAGAGGGAACGCCTATTAAATGTGTGCGAGAGCATGCACAAGCCCATTTCTTCTTGTTTTACAAGCAGTGATGTGAAATGGGTTTCTCCAAATAGCATGCCAAACTTTACCCGTCGACTAGAAACTCTGCAACCGTGGCATCAGCGGGAAGGCCCACCTGTGCTGTCAGTGTATGCCATCATGTGAAATAATCTCCCAAAAACACTTTGATCTTGTTTCTCTCTTCTGAGGCCTTTCTCTTCTTCTCATACACTTGGTAGACACTTTTTCTCTTATGACCCTCGGCCATTTTCATAGAGCCGCAGTGAGAAAGGCGAGCTTCAATGACTGTCTAAAACCTTAGCTCACCACAATTAGGAGGACCACTTATTTTGATGATCCACCTGAAAAAAGAACATCCTCCACTATACCTTTAAGAGTTGGGAGAACTTTTTAATGCTCAGAACTCCACCACCTGTTTTTTTGGAGGACAAGCATAACATTAAATTGAGCCCTATTTCTTCCTTAAACTTTCTTCATAAAAGGAAAGGCAAGAGAACAAACTGTTTGAGTAATGTGTGTTTAATGTTTTATTAAATGATCAATGACAAGAGAGAAAATGGCCACTCCCTCAGCTTACATCTTTAATCTGAGCTATGATTGGATCATGTAAAACAGCTGTGAGAAATAAGGCTGGATGTCAACTATTAAGGAGATGAAGGTGGAGAACTACCGTAAAGAGTGCTTTATTTGTGAACAGCACAACCATTTGTAGTGATGATATTTAAACAACGAGGGAAACAACTAGCAGCATTAACTGTGATTGTTTTACTTAATATGTTTTTTAATTTTTTATGTACCTGTCATTTATTTTAATGTATCAGTGTTGAATGTATTTTATGCAACTTTGCTGCCTCTTGGCCAGGACTCCCTTGAAAAAGAGGTTTTTAATCCCAATGGGATTTTTTTCCTGGTTAAACAAAGGTGAAATAAAAATTATTTTCCTCTAATTTTCATGCCTCGTGATAGGTGCTCCTTTGGGACATCGGGAAACTTAACCCTCAGAAGCTGCCGAACCTGAGAGGAAGCCTCAGCACGCAGACGGGCGCCCCAAAGCCGGAAGAGAATCCCTCACTCAACATTGACCTGAAGATACAACAACTGGCCATATCAGGTAAAACTGAAAGACTAGAGGAAACTAAAAATCAACTTTTAAACAAGTTTTTTGTTGTGTGTGTTTTCAAATAGTGACACATTTGTAAACATATTATGCTCCTGTAAATTATATGGATTTTGTTTTTGCAGGTTTATTTTTCAGTTCAGGATTTTCTCTATTCTTAAAAGAAACTGCAAAAGTTACGCAATAAAACCGTCAAATTTCTAATTGAAATCCATTATAGATCCAAATTTATCCAAACATAAACAAATGCAGTCCTTTAACATCTAGGTTTGAACTGGGACGATAATTAACTGTTTGATTGCTTATTCATTTCCTATATAAAAGTGGAGTAATGAGGAAAAACTGGCCTTTAAAGGTTAAAATTTAAAGTGTGATCAGAATCTGATATATTTTAGGTTTACTTATTTTTCAATAATTGAACCATAAGTCATAACAAGCAAATAAAGGACATCTTAAAAGTTAAAGAAGCAGTAAAATTTGTGCAGATGAATGAACACTGGTGTCTCTGTTCTGACTTTGCTGATTGAGTCTCCCCCTCTTATACTCAGGCCTCAAAGTGAGTCGTCTGGACATGTATGGAGAGAAGTACAAACCGTTTAAAGGAGTGAAATATGTGACTAAAGCGGGAAAATTTCAGGTCCGGACCTGAGTGAAGAGGTGAAAGGTCAGCATTCCAATACCAAACAGAGAGCGGGGTTACCACACTGCCAAGCCATCGACAAGTCTTACATCTCCACAGCTACATCGTCAAAAATCAACACCTCTGCGTTCTTACAGTTATTTATTTTCTCATTATAAATGGCAACGTATTTTAAATATGACTGAATAATTCTGGCCTGTTAAGGTAAGGCTTTAACATTTAATGTGATTTCTGTTGAATGTTGGTCTAATTGTGCTGCTTCATATTGTGAACTTTCTACTTTTTGCATCACTTGATATATATGTCTATCCACAAAATGTATTTCCTCATCTATCATGCTCAAAATGTTGCAGAAGGGAGATTTTTTTTATTTAAAAAACAAGCGCATATGCAACTCACTGCCTTACTTTAAATGTCAACTCTGCACAATACAACATGCAAGCTGCCTGAGAGTATGAAGGAAGGCCTTTGAAAAAGTTTAATTTAACGAAGGGTCGCCAATGTTACGGGTTAAAGTAGAAATTTATTAGAAAACATTCAGAATTTATGCCTGCATTCTGAATGGTTGTAATGCAAATATTTTTGCACACATTCAGAGTTTCATTCAGTGGCCTTATAAGAACATTTTTAAGTGCTCTGTTAAGCACACTACAGCACAAACTTCACGTTTTGGAGACTTAAGGGAATTATTTTAAAAGTGTTTTTCTTATTTAAAGGTCATTCTAACATGTAATGTTGGTATGATGTGGATCCAAATTAGTTATTCAGGTACACTTTTTTTATTTAGAGCAACTTTAAAGAACCTCACATTTTTTTTTCTTTTTTGCAACTTTTCACTGCACAGCATGTTAGTCAATATTAGACAAAATATCCTATTTAAAATGTAAGCCAGATGCCTTATTGTAAAATCCTCTTCATGCTTTGTTGTCTTTAAATCCCAGCTGCAGGATTTTGCTTTATGTTTGGGAATTTTATTTTCTACATTTTGTTTCTCTGCTTTTTTGTCAACTTTTTATTACTAACTTTAAAGGGTTTATTTTTCCAAAGCAATATTCTAATTAAAAAGCAAGTCTAATAAATTACCTCCTGATTCAGTGCCACAATTTACCTGGTATTTATTTTTCAGACCTTATTAATTTCCTGCATTAAAGAAGGCACACAAAACAAACCCTCCAAAAACACATCTGAAGCAGACTTTTGTTTTTATAATAGTCTTTATTCTTTCAAGGCACAGCAGATGTTGGCAGGGCTAGAGGCTATCAGAATACATTCAGCTAACTTTTTACTAACATACAGCTCTAAATCCCGGAGGCTCTAGGAGAGGAGCCTGTGATCACTACGTGTTCAGTACGCCACCCCCCAGAAAAAAAGAGAGGGAGGAAGGAAAAACAAACAGGTAATGGTCTGTGCTGCAGTTCAGTATTTTATCCCTCAGTACTCCAGGGATCCATCTCTAATACTGTTAAAATGAGACTACATACACACAGTCTCAATGTGACACAATTTTACCCAGCCACTGTAGAATAAATAATCTGATAAGGGAATGAAAACAAAATGGATTTACGGCTATAGTTGCGAGTATTTTTCTAGCTGGATACACATCATGGGCGTGAAAGCCTTTCAGTTCTGTTTATGATGTGATTTAAGAGCACTGCCCCACTGTTTGACTTCATTAACTGGGACCAGGGTTCAGAGATCTGACCCAAAGGGAGTTCGAGCTCGAGTTGTTCAAAGCCAACCAAATAACCCCTGAGGTCTACTTAGAAAACTGCTTAAACACCAGATAAGGTTTATATAAACATAGACTAAAAGGATGCAAACAAAGAAATAAGCACCTGCTCCAAAATCACCAACTGGAGAGAAAAAAAAAACATGAGGTCAGATGAGACGAAAAAGAAGAAAATGCAAAACGCATTCAAACTTGTAGAGCTGTCATTTAAAAGGCCATTGAACTTGGGTTTTTTTTTGTACTCTCAAAATAAAAGAACAGATTAAATAAAAAATTTAAAGCCCTATGAATGACAATCATGTTTATAAGTGCAAGTAAACGTTTGACTGGATCTGTGTGTGGCATACATTTTTCTTTTTCTCCCCCCCACTACCTTCCTCTAAATCATAACTAACACTGCTACCAATTATTTAAATTCATGATTAAATCAAATAATAGTATTTGTTGCTCTGGTTATCACAGAACTGAGTCTCAAACCTCCTGGGTCATCTAAAAAGAAAAAGTTGCATCAGAGAGATGGCTGAGGAGGACAGTACAAAACTATGTTTGTTTTAAATCTGTAAATCCCAAACAGTTCAACTGTTACAGAGTGCAGACACAAAAAAAAAACTGTTAGATAAAAATTTCAAAGCAGATAAAACATTCACAATTCTTTTTTTCTTTTTTTTTGTTGCAAGAAAGTAACAGACATCAACCATCACTACATCATCTCTACTGAGACTGATCTGCATTCCTTTATTTAACCTGAATTTTAAGTGCTCAAAGAACTCAACAAGGCTTCTAAGTAATGTAAAAGAAAACCTTTGGCATCATCAAATGTAAAAGTTCAACAAAAACACAATCAGTAACGGTCACACTAATGAATACTGTAATCATTTTTAGCTGTCTTGATCTTTTAGTTAATAAAGTGTAAACATCATCAGGGACAACAGTGATGATGCACCTCTGTTGAGTTCATAGATTTTCAGATTGAAAGTAAACATGAAACTCACTCAAGACTTTACACTTTAGTGTCAAACTTGGTAAATAAAGCAGAGTTCCATCCGTGAAACAGGTAATTATTGTATATACAACATACATTATGAAAAAATGACTGAAATAAACAAAAAACAGTTCACACATTCGCTAAGTGTTGAGTGTATCCATGTCAGAATTAATCTTTAGAAAATAGAAAATGACTCATGCAAAAAATATATGCCTAAGATTTAGATAAAATCTCATAACCCAAAAATACCAAAAATATATCTTAAAAAGTCTTCTGATAAGCTTTAGCGCAAATAGAAGACAGCCGAGCTAAATCACACCAATAAAATGAAACCTGGTTACAAATCAAAACTTCCCACCCACATCTACAGTGGAGAATGGCTCATAATCCTGCGGTTTCCTCTCACAGCGCCCCATCAGATGAGCACCACTTTGCTACTTTTACTGTGAGCAGGGAGGTTTCATTGGTACCAGGGGGTCTTGCGTACCCAGCGCAGGGTGAATCCTGCATCTGTGCGGATCTTGATAGAGGCGGCTTCTGCTTCTCTCACCGTCTCCTTTACAGACTGCATCAGATTCTGGGCATTATGCACCAACATTTCTGTAGCCTGGAGAGGGAATCAAATGAGGCAGGAGCCATTACACAAGATGTAACAACAGCCGGAATTAGCATAGAGTTCCTGAAACAATCATTTACAGTTTTACTTTGAGTGCACCGTGACTGATTAAACTTTTTTTATCCAATTACGGAACAGAATCTTTGATTCACGAGATTGAAGACTGTTTAAGCTAATGCACTTCAACAGAAACAGACTTAATTAAAGGCAAAGTGGAGGATGTTCTTTTTCTTGGTGGATCGTCAAAATAAGTGGTCCTCCTAACTGTCAATCATTCTGGTGATATGTTTACATTAGGCCTTCCTACATGCTCATCGCTCATTTTCACTTATTGTTGAATTATTATTATTATAAGATGAATTATTAAGATGGTTCTGCTATTTTTTTCTCAAACTTCCCTTAGAATGTGATGTGAAAAATGGTTTGAAGGACAAAAAAAAATTTAACTCTGAAATTGTTTGCGAGTGAATTAGATAATAAGGGACAAATGGACTAAGCTTGCTTATTGATACAGAAAACATTGCATTTTGTGAATGGGAGCAACTCTTTGGGAAATTAGTGTGTGAATACAGTCAAAAGAGAATATAACAGATCCAAAGCAGGTTGGATAATGACATCTGAACAACATAGATGTGCTAAAAAAAAAATGGTTTTAAAAATTGGTGACAGTAATTTATTTTGACCTGAATTAATAGGGTCATTATGTCACAAAGATGAAGTCTAAACGAGGTGTTTTTTGTGTCTTGGATTACATACCTACCTAGGTACCAGTTTTGTCCTCTAGAGCTTAACAAATATGTTCCAGAAAAGGGAAAACCATGAAATGACTCAATTAATTTCTTTAAAATCAAATAAAAGGATAGCCAAAGTAGCAAAATTATAGCTGAAGATCAAAGGTAGAGAAAAATGTCCATTATCAGAGATTTATTGTAAATATAAGGATCAGTGCATGAGCCAAATTTTCCCACCTACCTTTATAATTTGGTCATTTAGCTTAATTTAGAGATTAGAAACAATATCTGGGGTCTTGTGGTAAAATGAATGTTATAGAAAAGAAAATGAGACATCCTAACATGTAGATTGGTGAACTGAAGGATTATTTTCAGTTCATTTTAAGCCAAAAATGTCCACAAGCCTCCGTCATCCCTAATTAATACATTTATTCTACTTGCATTTATTTAACAAGAGCAGTAAAAAAATCAACTATTGGACATTTTTTTCTTATTAACAAGCTATAATGTGCATCTCCTGTGATATACATATGTATTAAAGTTCAAATGAAAATCATTGTAATGATGCTGATTTAATGGTGCCTGATAGGATATAAAAGATAAATTACAGTTGGTTATTGAGCAGTATGATGTTATTCAACATTAGGTCAATTTTAGGGGAACAAGAACAGACCCTATTAGCCTACAGTCTACAAACGCCTAGAGCTAATACATTTGGTCAACTCCTTCATAGGATAAAATGTATGTTAGTAAAAACCAGGATCTTTAGATTACATTCGGCTGACTTTTAGCCCTGATTACATGAGATAAAGGTTATTGATGTGACATGAGTTCGACTTTGAGTCTGAATCAAATTTATAGTCTCAAGAGTGTGAGTCTGATTAGAGGCACAATTCTTTACTTTTAATAATTCTTACTTAAATTCTTTCAGCTAAGGGTAGCTTATTTATAAAAAACAAAAAAAAAACAATGGTGTTGAATTAGATGTAGTTGTGTTGTTCTGTTACCTGCTCTGACTCCTCTTCACTGATGTTTGTTCGTCCCAGCATGGTAGCTTTGACAGTAGAAAGGATCTTAAGCTGTGTGCTGATGGTGGGAATTCGTTCACAAACCTGCAAAAGGAGGCAGAAAAGCAACCCAAGTTTCAGTTTATGGTTTCTGTAGATTAGTAAACTGTTCTACTGTGGACATATTCCTTCTAAAATACCAGCATCTCTTTAAGAAAATCCCCTCTATTTTAAATTTCCCTTTAAGCCTTTGAATAGGTTTTGCTGACCATCAGGTGTCATTGAAATAAAAAATGAGACTTAAAATTTGAAAGACTTGACTTTTATTCCTATAATCTGTTTAAAGAATCTGGTTAGTGGCATTAGGCTCTTTAGGTCAAATTAAATAAGTTGTCTCAATAAAAATTGTCCCTATTTTTCAAGGGAAATGTACTAAAGACAATGATAACAATTCAAAAAATTTTCATAATTTATAATTATCATTTTGTAAATCAACATTTTTTATGACACTCTTATATTAATTCTAAAATTACATTAATTTATGAGCAACTGAAAATAAAACCTTGTTTTAATTTACAACAAATTTTAAACTGTTGCATAAACAGGCACAAGAAACTATTATTAAAGAAAAGAAAACTATATGGAGCTATGTTTAAAGTTTATTATACACTTGGTAGAGTTACAAGGATTTAAAATCATGTAGAGAAGTTTGTTTTTAATTGAAAATGTAATGTTTATCTTTAAAGAGTTTAAACAATGAAAAAGGTGTATCATTTTTTTTATTTTCCAGTTGATTTTATAATTATTATTTTCAAAATTATTTATGATCTTCACAACAATGAAAGGAAAAAAAATTATTAAACCGGTGGAAAGACACAAACGTCACATTTGTATCTTTCCACTTGTTTCACTGCTTTATTTAACGATGAGCTCCATATCTTTGTAATGTTTCAATATTTGTGTTAAATTGCTGCTGCTTTTAGTTATTGTTCTTTGTTGTTTTTGGTTTTTGTTGATTTTATTCAATTAACCTTC